TTGACATACCATCTATGATTACGTCCTTCCTCGGTATCGGCGTCTGAGCCGGAACCGTTGCAGCATTCAACTTGTTGAATGCGTGCGCTATCCGCCACCCTCCTGTGGCCTTTTGCATACATAAGGCCGGAGAGCTGTGAGGGGATGTTGATTCCCTCACATGGCCCGCTGCTAAGCGATCGGCAAAGTACTTGTCGATCGCTAGTACCTGTTCACGAGGCAGTGGCCACTGCTTCATGACACAGTACTTCGAGCCCGGTTTGAGCTCGATCTCGTCTCGAGTGCCTTTGTCCTTAGGCAACTCGCAAGGTACGGATTCAGGGAACAGATCCCTGAATTCGATAAAATCCTTATACAAAGGATTTGCCTGAAGTGACTCCCAGGATTGGGACGCGTATCGCTCAATCCGAGTCTTCTCATCGAGGACGCTTTCGTCCATCGATGAGCGGCTGAGAACCCGTTCGTTCTCAGCAAATACTGTTGCCGACCGAATATCGGCCACATACCCATCCTCCGTGACGAGTATGCAGATCTGCTTGACTTTGCCACTAAGTAGATCACGCAAGAACCGTTTCGGTTCTAGCGTTGGCAACTGAGTTATCTCCGAAGTTAACTTCGGAGGCACAATCAGATCAAGCGTATAAGCGCCTACGCTTGATCCGTCATTAACCAAGACGTTCAACGTCTCGGTTTCTTCCTGGGAACTTTCTTCCACAGGTTGCTGAGGGCCTGATCCCTCAGCAAGTGACTCTTGAGGAATTCCTTCCTCAAGCACGTGGGGACTTATTCCCTCGACGTCTTCCGACTGTGGCTGTGCAACCACAGTCAGGCACCGATCCTCTACGGTCGACTCTCCAGTCGACCTAGGATTTCCATGTTGCCCCTCGGGGGCAACAGGTTTCTTTCTTCTAACATGCTGCCCGCTAGGCATGCATCCATGTCCCGGTTCACTCGACTTATTCGAGTGGTGGACCTTCGGCGCAGCCTGTACATCTGTACAGCCGCCGGGAGCTTGCTCCACAGTGTAGTGATCAACTACACTGTGATCTTGTGCAGTCGTGCTAACGACCGTACCGCAAGTGAGGCCATCGCACTCACTCGCAGAACATCCACACGCTTGTGGACGCTCCAAGATGTTCATCAGATGGCCATCTGATGAACAAGCGGCAGGCATCTTCACGGATCGATGCTGCCAGCTCACCCTTGGCTCGTACTTTCTGAGCCAAGGTAATCCCAGGATGACATCGAATTCGTCATCCAGATCTAGTACGATGAAGTCATCATCGTACTGTTCGCCCTCTAACGTGTAGTTAACTCCTACTACACGTTTATCAACGGTTATCGATGCGCCTGTTGCAAGGCGCACCGTCATCCTTGTGAGGGGAATGTCGCGCTCAACAAACTTGAGCCTACGACCCTCTAGTGACTGGCGTCGAACAACTTTGTTCGACGCCCCATAGTCTACTAGGGCACGAAGCGACAAATCATTTGTCGCTTCCAACTTCAAGGTGATGAGCGAAACGTCATCACCAGGTGCAGAGACACACAATGATTGTGTATCTGGAGCAACTTTCGTCAAGAGATTTGCAAATTCTCTTGAGGTTGCTGTATCAGTAGGGCGCTCCGCCCCTACTGACCCCGACCATTTTTTTATGGTCCGTCTCGCTGTTGCGGTTTCGCAACAGCGCTGGACCCACGCCCATTACCCGTCTTGGCGAATGGTCGTCCATTTCGCTCAGTACTGTTTGGTACTGGGCGTGGAGCACTACACTCGTATGCGTAGTGCCCTAACTTCTGACAGCGATTGCACTTCTGCAATCGCTTGTTGTTTGAAGAGCAAGGTCTCTCACTCTCGACATAACAGAGGTCCATTGGTTCTGGACCTCCGATCTCTTGTCGTCTCGGTGGACGATAAGAGTTTGAGCTAGCATGAGCCTGTCTCATGCTAAAGTCTTCCTGTTCCTCGGCTGATATCGCTTCTTCAAGCGTATTCAGCTCAAGGCGGAACAGGTGGCTCCTGACGGGCCCTTCTGCGAGCCCTTGCATGAACACCGTAATAAACGTGTGTTCATGGACTGGGTTAGCAGTTATACTACTCGCAAGGAGTCGTATATGTTGAGCATAAGCGTGCACATCACGCTTACCCTGCTTGAAGTTCAAGAGCTCTGAACGAGCTCTGAACGAGCCCTGAACTCAGCCCGTGGCGGCTCAAAAGTTTGTCTGAGCCGGGACTTGAAGTCATCTAGCGACCTAAACACATGTGGGTCGCTACTCTCGAGTCCCAGGGACCAAGTTTTGGCACGCCCTGCCAAGTGGGTCTGAGCAAATGTGAGTTTCATTTGCTCATCTTCGACGCGACGAGCCCTTAGGGCTCTGTCGAGTTCGACAAACCATAGTAACAGGGAGTCCTCCGGGACTCCACTGTACTTGGAGATGTCAACTTTCATGACTTCGGGACGACGCGCATGCGCCTTCCCGCCCACAGCAGCATGGAATTGCTGCTGTCTCTTCAGCTCCATCTGTTGAGCACCGAGTTCTCTCAACTGCTCGGCCTGTTGAGAGCCTTGCTGGTGAAGCAAGGCTGCTTTCTCCCTCTCAATGGCAAGTTCATGTTGAATGAACTTGGCGATAGCGGCATGTTGTTGGTCTCTGTCTAGAGACTCCAACATGGCGCTAATGGCGAGTTCGCCTACGGTAGAACTCATTCGTTCTACCGCACCCCATTCGATGTCACTCAAATGGGTAAGCCCTTCACGCGTGGCGTGAAAGGTTTCTTCTTCATCCAACATGAAAATGTTGGATGATGTGGTCCTTGGAAGGACTACAAAGTGCTACCAGGTGTAACGGGGCACACCCTTGCGTGAACTTAACGCAAGGGTATCGGTGCCCCGACAGACGTACACGTGGCAAGCGAGGAAGCGTAGGTAGGGTAAAAGCAGAACTGTTGTATTAATATAATTAAGTCTTTTAGCTACTGTCTCTCTGTTTGACTTAACTTAATTATGTTAATATAACTGAGTGTATGGTGACGTCTCGTCACCACTCATTGTGCGCGTCTTGCGGCGATTGGTGGGTTGATATCATCAAGATATCAACCAATGAACAGACTCTTTGGTCGACCCTTCAATATCACCGCTTTGGTGATATTGTTTAAAGAAAATCCATCTTTATATTCTTTATTGTCACTTTCCTTGAAGTGACAATTTCATGTAACGGGCTGCCCCGTTACACCTTGTTAGTGGCTGATCACGGTTTGTGTCTTTGTCCAGTTGGACTTTGTTCTTCGCAATGACGGACCATTATCACAGTGCTTTGTCCGATCGTCACACATTCTCAAAAGTAGAAAGAGGCAATGTCGGTCCGCGCACCGGTATAGCATCGACTCTCGATGCGGCTGTGGTGACTAACCTTGGGAGTTTCCGACTGGCCACAACATCACGATATCGAGTGTTGGAAGCTCGCGTGTAGAACAAAGGCACTTGTGTGCGAAGAGGTTGAAGTAGAAGTGAATATATTACAGTGTTTACTTCGTTTGTTAACATTATAATCGAACATGCACTGCAAATTGACCATAACATGATTGCGTCCGTCTTCCCCCCATCTTGCAAGCCGTCGCCATGTCGTCCAACGGTCATGTCGCTACCTCGTCCCGCCACCTGGTCCATCACCATCCTGTCACGACACCTATCACTGTCGTTGCCTCGTCGCACCATCTGTCACCGTCGTAGCCTCGTCTCACCATCTGTCACCGTCGTAGCCTCGTCTCACCATCTGTCAAAATGTTTGTGGACTCGACCAATCAGGTGTCACCGTCACATGTTCTATCCGTTGAACCTGTAGCATAACAATGACTGACAAGACGTTTCTAAACAGGCATTTCTAACATCGAGGTCGGTTGGCGTTGTATGTTGGATTGGGTGGGCGCAGGATGGAGAGTGAGCGATTGATTTTGGAATGTGGTGATGAAGCGCTCGAAGCGTCCCTCGAAAATGCAGTCCAGGATATCGACGGATACAGTGACATTGCAAACAGACGCAAGAATTGGCGCATTACCAGACAGGAGCGCGGTCGTATATTCGACGACGCGTGGTACTGTCGCACTGCACAGCTTACGAAGGCAGCCACGGACAGCTTGACCGGTGGGCTCACCGACAGCGTTTTTGCGGAAGCGAACCCACCTGTCGTCTAAGGGCTGGAATCCTGAAGTCAGTTCTATCGACAACAACGCTTACGAGCGATAGCTTCATGCACTCTTTCCGTGAGTGCTTCCACTAACAGACTCTTTTCAGTGCTGTTCGAGAGTGTCGCTAGTTTAGTGTCATTGTTACTGTTTCTTGCATACTGAATAACATGCAGTGCGGTATTGGACTACGAAGACAAGACAGTACCAAGGTTTGTCTATTATGAAGCTGTGAGCTTGAAGCGTTTTTCCGTAGGCAGTTTCAACAGGAGCATGCCCACTTTACACGCGTGTGCACCAGTCACATCAGCACGCTCGTATTCTCCTCAGGCGGTGGCGGCGCAGAGCAGTGGGTGGATGCCCAGCGCGCCATCAAATGAAACGATGTGGCCGCATTGTTTCGTTCCAAGTCGCGGGCGTGGAAGTGTTTGCTGAACACTCGTTACTTCTGCATCCACAATACCTCGTACAGGACAACGGAACAGAGCAAAGGTGTCTCGCAAACTTTGCTACCCGACGTGTTCATTTCGATCGAGTGCCCAAAAAGTTGACTGCGTTTAACTTGTAAGCGCGTTACCACTCGAGGCATTTTATACGAAATGTGCGACAAGGCAGCTCAGTACGTCGTCTGTGAGAAACAACAATCTGGATCCGGCGTCAAAGGGTTTTGCGCTTAGGACACGTGCGGGGATCTCTGGTTAACACGAAAAGCTGGTCGGTCAGTGTACCCGCCACAAACACGACAGGCCAATCGTAACCCTGGGCTACACTCGGTTACGCACGTGCGACCATCACTCTGCACACAAAGTCACCCACTGCCATGAGCAAAGTGCTGGCGTGGGGCGACGCGCTCTTTGTCGTGCGCTGCGAACGCGGAGAGCTCGCGATCCAGCGCGTGTGCGTCAGCGCAGAAGACAAGAAGGTCTCGCTACGTCCGTGCGACGTCAAGTGCGACGCCGCGCTGCCTCTGGACGCTCGTCTGGTCGCTGCCAACGAAGTCGAAGATCTTGAACTTGCAGTGTGCGTCAAGCGACTGCTCTCATGTCTCTTTTGAGCTGTCTAAATGGACCTGTCGCTCTTCCGTGTCGCTCGTCGTCTTTGCTCTGTCCCGCAGGCGCTGTGCTGTGCTGGTGTTCCTATCGTCCCAAAAAGACTATCGAGCGACAAACGACTCGAGAGCTTCGAGTCCGTCGGCTGCTCTTCACTCACGTCGACGACCGATGACAAAGGCGCAAGACGCACTTGCGCCCAGTGCTATTGCTGACGCTGAGATGCCGCTGAAAAAGTGGCTGACTGTCTGTGTTCTGGACGAGACTGGGGAGAAGGACGAGATGCGCTGTGTGCGGCTCTTGCACGCGGAAACAAGTTCTCTAGTCGTTGACTGCGGCGATGCTACAACGGAAGGAAAAGAAGACGAAGTGCTGCAGGTTTTTCTGGTTGATGGACCACACGCGCTGCTTTTCGAACGTCGTTCGCAGCGAGCGACAGTGTTACAACTGTCAAAAGCAGCGCTAGGAAGCAACTTGTTTGGCTTGCGCAGATGGAATATTGATCTCGATGCGGTGCACGGCACCCCAGGCGACGCTCGGGCAGCTGTCGATGTTGTGTCGTGTACATATGTGTCCGAAGTGCATAGTGTTCGACCGCATATGCTCATTCATATGCAAGAGCTGCTGTCAAGTTGTTCCCCTACTGGGTAAGTGAACCTGAATGACTGTTGCGTCACATTTCTACCGCGAGTGCAGTGTTTACGCTCTGTGATGATATTGTTTTGTGGCTAGCGAACGCCACGCTTGGATCGTTGTGGACATGGATCGAGACGATGGCGAGTGTGCCAGTCGGATAAAAGAATTGTCAATGTGCCACTACCTACCTACATTTCCCTCGATTGCAGAGTGCATCGGATCAGTGTCAAAGCCTGAGCAAATATCGTGTTGCTGTTTCGTTTCCAAGTTGAGTGGTTGGAATTTCGTCGAAGCAGCCTCTTACGATACTGATGCATTCACTTGGGATCAGGGATCAAGAAATCGGTCGATCGCGACGGACGTATGTGTGCCGACGCTAGTGATCACTGGTACAACGAGTAATACGATTTATGTCCACGAAAATGGAATTTTGCTCGCCTCCTACGTGCTGCCTTCTCGACCGGCTGAAATGTACGCACAAGGTAGATATTGTTGATATTGTCGATTGTCACCGTTACGGTAGCTGATAGACGTGCTGTTGTATCAGGTGGCCCTTAGGTGGAGATAACGTCGAGCAGCACCATGTACTCTGTGTGCGCTGTGACGACGAAACTCGTTCGTTCTACATGCTTGAGCTTCGCAGCAAATTGCACGAGGCGTCCATCAAGCTACTACTATGTACGGCTATTCGTTCTGGTTGCCCGTGTTGCAGATTCTAAAACTAACAAGGTCTTATTGCAATTTGATAGCGTTCAAGCATGTAGGTTTCGTGCGCGTCAGCAGTTTTACGAGTGCATCAGTATTGCCCCAAGTCCTTCTACTGAACGATGTCAAAAAGCGTTCTGACTTGAGCGAAGTGGGCGCCGACGAATCTTTGGACCACAATCAGCTTGTAAAGCGCAGTGTCCTTGTTTCGCAGACAACATCACCATCAGGTTATATGCTATCCTGTTGTCGACTAAGACTACGTGAAGAAGAGAAAGCCAGGCGCGACGTACGCTCTCGTAAACGGTCTCACAACAACGAGATCATCAGTCATGCTGATGTCGAGGCAGAACCATTCTGCTACATCGAGCGCACCCAAAAGGCCTCGTCTCGTGACAGAAGCCTGAAGAACTTTAAGTCTGCAATTGATGGCGCATCTCGTGGATCAACTGCTTCGCATGCGCAGCTCGGCAAACTCGCGAGCTCTCTCTCTGCGCGCTTGGTCAATGGGTTACAGGAGATGAAACGATTGCAAACCATTGTAAGCGATAAGGTCTCGCTGGTCCGCCGACTCAATCAGCTTCTTGTACAGCTGTGGCTACAGCTACAAGGCGGGTATCCGAGCACAGAACGTTCACTCTTGATGCCACATGTTTCAGCCCGAAAGGATGATAGTCGCCGCCCAGTTTGTGTGGAAATGGAAACGATTGTAAGCGGGACTACTGTCCCCCGAGCTGGTATGAAAGTCGAACCGATCAAGCATGATCTAGGGTCGGCATCGGGAGACCTGAAGCTGGAGCAGCAAGTATCATTGGAGCAGTTTGACGTGCTTGAATACGTGCCGTCGTCGTCACTTTTTCACGCTGAAGTTGTCGTGAAGAACCTATCTGACATTGCGCTGTACGATAGTTTTGTTGTGATGACCGCGCCGAATGGGCGAAACGTGCGTGCACGAGGCGGCTGGTGCTCTAGCTCAGTGGTACCTGTGCTGCGCCTGAAAGAACGTGAAGCCCGATATCAGCTGCAGTTTCAGCTTGCATCAGCACACCTTCGGGAGCGGAAACCATTCGATCTAGTGCTATGGTTGCATTGGAGAGCCTCGCCTGACGATCGTGTCTCTAGCACGACTCCAGCCTGGCATCCAAGTGAGTCAACATCAGCCATTGCGTCAGTCAGCATCGATCTAGATGGCCTGTTTGGCATCGGTGGCGAGTTAATGAATACAGTGAGGAGCAGACGGAGCAGAAACAGAAGCCACATCGACGGTAGGCACTCGTTCTGGTTTGAGATAGTTAGCACTGACGCTGACGCCGTTCCATACTCTGACGATGCTATCTGTAGATACGAATCAACTGCTTTTCATCTCATCCGGATCCAATCTGGAAGCATGGTTTGGACGGCCGAGTTCAGGTGTACTACTCACTTCCGTTGGTTCTGTCGTCCGGCCAACTTGTGCCCTAGTAAGCTTAAAAGCGAGACCCCACGAATCGATGCTGTACGAATTGGGCAGGATCATTGCAAGCCTTCCGCCAGACGTTTATGCAATGCTCAACCCCTTTCATCATTCCCATTTGCGAGCGCTTCAGCGTTTGTTGCGCTCCATGCGCCGAGAGATTCTCGCTGTTTCCTCACAAGGAAGAGACGATGCAGATACGAATCAAGGTTTGGAGGCAGAGCAGAAGGAGCGAATGTCGAAAGCGGACGGTCGCGATGTAGTGCCGATGGGCCGCGCGACACAACGTGATACAGACTTTCAAGCCACTCGGTTGCTCCATGGTCTGCAGAAACGTGTTGACTTCCACTCGATGTGGTTTGACGCGACCGCGAGCAACGGCTAGTTTTTACACATGCGAAGGGATGAGTAAGAACGTTTCAATTTCAACTTAGCGTTGTCAAAGCACCTGAGAAGACTGTGCTGCCATCGGACAAGTTCCCGCCTGAAGACTAGCAAGCTGCTTCTGGAGGTTAACGATGAGCCGAGTGTTCTCCAGCAACGATTGTTCCACGTTTGAAAAGGTCGTATGCAGATGCAAGATTGTCATAAGCAGAATCGATACCAGGATCCACGGAAACACTTTTGCAGCAGCAGTACAAACAAGAGGACCGTACGGCAGTATCGCACCTGCAACGCCACGGTGGTTGTGCCCAAGCTTGCCTCGGCCGTGATGTCTCACCACAGCCCCGCGATCCTTTCCGCTAGTCTCCTGCAGTGCCATTTGCTTTAAGCAAGTGCTTGGCGCCAAAGAACTCTTCGACGTACAGCTCACTGCATCATCACGATCCCTTGAGTCGAGAAACGCCTTGGCCATTCCAACCCACTTTTCCCACTTCGCACGGTTGTCACTGATAGCACGGGCTTCGATGGTTTTCTTCCAGAACGTTGACTTGCCAAAGACCACCTGGTACAAACAAGAGAACATCAGAATCAGTGCACTTCATGTCGCTGCTGTTGGCTTGTACCTTACACACACCTTTAGCTCAATGTATACTTCGCAGAAATTGGCTTTGGCTGAGTGTGGCACGATGGTCCATCGATCTTCCACACTAAAATAATCGCCATATGGAATGTCCACAAGTCGAGTCGAGCTCTCGACGACGCGCACCCCGTGCTCTTTTTCTTTCATGCACTGCAGCTAGAATGAATGACGTCGACAGCACGTTAGTTCATGTGAACATCCTGGATATAAAACACTTGTCCACAACATTACCACGTCAACTTGCGATGACTTGGGGCCGATTGGAGCATCGATCGGCACTCGGAACTGCAACGATCGCGTTGTCCCTGTCGTCGCACCACGTTTTAGTCCATGCACGTGATGTTCATATGATATCATCAACAACGAGAGTATGCTAGTCTTGACACAATGCACATGTACCGAAAGATTTTCCGCCTTCTGCCGGAGTTATCCAAGGGTTCACGGTTATATCGGTTGAGCCAATTCGTTCAGCAAACTTATCCAGTCCGAACGGTGCGTTGTCCACGCAAAATGTCTGCACAAAAGTGTCTACCGACACTGGGAATACCTCATCGAAAATCCGAGTCATCGATATATCCTTTGGTGCAATCGAACCCGTGTCCAAGACCACACTGCGCCGACGTGGTGTCGCACAAATGGTGTAATTATCATCACCCTCATTCTCTCTTTCCGCAGCGGTCACGGTTTCGTTGACACCAGCTGTCGAGACGCTATTCGAGGAAACAACACCTTCCCCGTGCTGCTCTACTCCTTCCTCTCCCTGTCTCTCTTCTTTTTCTTTTCCTTCTTCTGCAGCATCTTGATCGTAGCATACGCTTGTTGCTGAGGATGGCGATGATGAAAAGGGAGACAGTAGTCCCCTAGCAGCAGAAGGCGGTCGTCGTTTCGAGCCGTGCAATGTCTCCTCGCCTACTGTAGATAGACACAACTCCTGTAGCACTCGATCACGCGTTTTGACAATGAGATCATAACAAGAGTCGCGGTTGTTGCCCCAGAAACTCGTGAACGTGTACTCGTCCTTGTCAAACGTCACAAGACGGATCGCGTGCTGAAACACCATGGTCGTTGTCTTCTCGAGCTCACGAATCGACTCGTACGGAATCAGAATCTGCACGAGAAGCAAACAACCAGAAGCAACACGCACACAGCTCGGCTCAGCATCGTGTTTCGACCGTCGAAAGCACGGAGCGAGCTGACGAAAAGTACACCTGACACGTCTCAAGCAAGCAATTGACCGCTATTTCGTCTTTTGACGGCATATCCACACCTTTCGCTCCCGACCAAAGACGTTCGAGTAGAAACACACGTGTGAGCTCGTTGGGTACATCCGTCCGTGCATTGCCAGCGTCGACGCAATCGCACACGAGAAATCTGTCGACAGCAAGCACGAGAGGGTGAGACGCCGATGAAAACAATGGGCACATAAAAGTTGCAACGCCGGGCGCGCGTTTTCAATCCACTCCGTCAGAGCGCCTGCCCAGCGACCGCCACGACATAATGACGTGCGGGCCGTCCGTTTGTCTGTCTGTACCTTTGTAGAACTGCGTCGACTCGGGCAGGTCGAAGATCATGCAAATCACTTGGACCCGTACGCGCTCCTGTTCCTTCTCTTCGTCGCACTTTCCCAGCGGCAGAAAGTCGTGGTCCAGGGGCAAATTCAGACGGGGTCGGCTGGGAGCGCACGTGCTGCTCGACGAGAACTCGTCGCTGGGCGGGCGGCGACTGCACTGCGGGGAGGAGCTCATGGTCTGTATACACGTACGCGTGTGGTCAGACAGACGGTACTGAACGCTGCTGTGTGTTGGCAGCGGACGCGGACGAGGAACGCGTCGACAGGTTGGGCCGCGCTGAGACGAGAGCTCGGAAGGCGTTGCGGGGTCACTTGCAAGGTAACATGGCTACATTTGAGACTGTAGAACTTGGTACTGCGAGGTGGCCGCAACTTATTAGTATTGGGATTGCATCGAGAATCACAGATTCGAAGACTGGCTCGACATCTCGAGCGCCCGGCAGTTGGTTAAAAGAACGACAAAGCGGTTCGCACTCGGCTGTATTCACTTCGAAGGGATCTGTCGATAGGAGATTGATTGCATGAGGCGGCAGTCGAGCTCTGTAATCCTAGCAAACCACTGCTGGTGACAAACGACCGAACGATAGCGGGGAGGCACAAATGTAATTTGCATGACACACGTCCACAGCAGCGAGTGATGAACGACGACATTATGCTGAGTGCTTTGTGCTTGACAATGATAGTCGCAATGGAAATGAGCGCCTTCCAAGTACGTACTCGGCCTCGATCGTTCCAAGCGGCAAAAATAGCCATCATATGGCAAAGACAATCGCCACTGCAAGCCGGTTGTTCAGCGCTTGAAGCGCGGATCCTCCTCCACCTTGTTGAGAATCTGCTCGAGACGACGAGCCTCTCCGACGTTACCCGACTTGTACATCAGTTGCATCTGCGACCGAAGGCGCTCCTGCTCGCGCATGGCCTCGATCTTGTCCTTATCCATGAGCTGCAGCACAAGACGAAACTCCTCTTGCTCTTTTTTCCCGCGCGCATCCAGACGCTCACGGCGCACGCGCTCTTCATCGGCTACCGCATCCAGTGCCTTGACCGAAGACGCTTTTTTCTGCTTGTCAAACGCTTTGCGCTGCTGCTTCTGGTACTGCTCCATCTCGTACTTCTCGATATCGTAGTACTTCTTGTGCGGCATTGTGCACGTGTTGTAGTCCTCCATGTACTCCTTAAAGAGCTCCATGGCCTCCCACTTGGGCCCATTGAACGCGCCCATTTTCTTCACATCGCGAAGCCACGCGTGAAACGACACGCTCTTGCGATGGAAGTCGGACTCGCGCAAGATGCCGTACTTGCCGTACTCGTCCTGGTCCACCGCGAGCTTCCTACCTCCATCCTTCTTCCTCTTCTTCTCCTTCTTCTCCTTCTTTTTCTTCTTCTTCTTGTCATCTTTTGATCTTCTCGACTTGTGCCGTCGCTTCCGCTGCACTCGCTCGTCCTCCGAAGTATCAGAGCTGTCAGAGCTATCGGAGCTCTTCGACTCAGCTGCCGAAGACGCGGACGACGAGCGGTCCCGACGACGACGGCGGTCCCGACCATGCGATGACGTCTCCCTCCTCCGCCTTTTCTTCTTCTTCGTCTTCGTCGTCGTTGCCGCATCGCTCTCAGCGTCAGAGCCGCTCCTGTCCGAGTCCACGACCGTCCACATACGCGCTCGAGCGGCGACGTGCTCTCGGTTCGCGAGCTTCAGCTGCTCCGATCCGTCGGCTGCTCCCGCCAGCTCTTGATCCGACTCGTACGTCCGCTCGTGGCAGTGCTCATGAAGACGATGACGACGGCGGCGTCGGCTCGCGCTTCTGCTCCTGCGCCGGCTGCGGCTGCGGCTCGTGTCGCGTCGCGGTCGGTCGCTCATGCTCTCGTGTGTGCCCCGACACGAGTACAAGAGCAGCGACAGTTAGAGAGCAGCAAATAATGACCGCCACGGGCTGATCAATCGACAATATCGATATCCGTTCGAGTGGATTTTATCCATTCCAGCAACAACGAATGCCCGTGACAAAAAAGCGCGACGGGGCCAACGGTCTGGCGCTGGGAGCCCGTGGCTACCGCTGCCACGTGTTTGACGACCCCGAGACGGCGTGGGCGCTCCATCAAGAGACGCATCTGATCGCGTGGCAGGGGCAGAAAGACAGCGACCTGCTCGTCGACCGCTTTGATGCTCGGAACCTGCTGGACGACCGGCGGCAGTTCCGCCAACTGAAAAAGAGGAAGCGACGAGCGTCTCAAGACGGACATTTGGACGCTAACGGAGGACAAAACATGGGTACAGCAAACGAGACGATCGAGACGAAGCACCAGCAGGAGATTCATCGTCTTCGCTTTGGCGAGTACGCCGTGGAATTCCCGCGGTCGGAAGACGTGGTCGTAAACCGGTTCCCGTACCTGTATCCGGACGATGAGAAAAGTGACCAAACGAGCGATGACGAAGCGTTCGAACCGCCATGGGCGGTACCGGATCACCTGGTTGTGGTATGAAGCCATGTGACAAGTGGATGGCATGCTGCTGTTGCTGACGAATTGATGACGAATTGATGACTGCTGTATTGACGTGGTGAATCTAGCCCAAGACCAAGAAGCGACATGCTATTCTCGCAGCTACAGCTAACAAGGTTCGCGAGCATCCACAGCTAGAGGCTATGCTGAAGGTAGTTGTTGCCGTGCTAGGTTGGACAGGAGCTTCCGGTGTCTTCAGTGGAATACCGAGCGAGGCTGGGGTTGAAGTTGCTGCTAACAAAGTGCATTTATTGTAGGTCAAGCTTGGTGCGAACGCCAAGTTTCGTTTCTTGGATGTTTCGCATGATTTGTACGGCTACTATTGCTTCGTGCGCGACGAGAACCCTCAGCCTATGTCAGCGAAGAAAACGGGTGTTGGAGTGTCGCTTCTGGGAGAGGAGTACGACGACGATGTGGGTTCATGCAATATGTGAGGTGCATGTGCTTTGCTTGTGTGTTTGACGAGGGTGACGGACGGTGTGGCGTGGTGTGTCTATGTGTCTAGCAGAGTGGTGAAGAGAAGACAAGCACACACGATGAGTCGTGTACAGACGCAGCTAGCTGAAGAAGACTGCTGTACATATACGTGAGGGCGAACGGGCATGTGTGGTTGCATCGCACGTGTTCTGACTTTATCTGTCGTAGTTCCCATCTACTACTCACTCAATGAGACCCTAGCCACATATCTGCGCAAAACGATCGTGTGAAACATGCAGTGCACCGTTGACCGTACACGAGCGGCAGCTGCTTACGGGAACAACCGCTTCGGGTCGCGCGGGAACATGGAGGCCTTACGGATGTTGCCTAGACCCAGGTACAGCATGACAACACGTTCCAGACCAATACCACCGCCGCCATGGGGAAGAGCACCAAGGCGGAATGAATCGATATAGGTGCGCATGGATTCCTGCGGCACGCCCAGCTCCTGCATGCGCTCGATGAGTAGGTTCGGGTCGTGCACACGCTGCGCGCCGGAGACGATCTCTTCGCCGCGGATCATCATGTCGTATGAGTTACTCCAGCGCTTGTCATGCGGGTCAGGCATTGTATAGAACGGACGCACACCGAGCGGGAACTTGTCCAGAATGTAGAAGTCCGTGTCATACTTTTCTTTGACGAGGCGGCCAAGCCACTTTTCGTTTTCCGTGCTCAGATCGTCTTCAGGCTCCTGTGAGGCGCCAGCTTCTTTTAGCATCTTTACACCTTCCTCGAAGTTAATGATGAGCGACGGCTTCTGGTACTTGAGCATCTCGAAGGGATGCTGCTCGTTTATAATAGCCAACTCCTTCGCATAGCGCTCCTTCAGGCCATCGAAGATGTAAATGAACAGGTCCGAGAATACCTCCAGCACCTCGTGGTAGTGTTCCCTGATGGTCATTTCCAGGTCAAGACCAACAAACTCGCACATGTGGCGATGTGTGTTCGAGTTTTCGGCACGAAAGACCGGGCCAATCTCAAACACGCGCTCGAGGCCAGCAACAGCGCACGCCATCTGCTTGTACGTCTGAGGACTCTGAGCCAGGGCCGCATCCTGATCAAAGTATTTGAGCGTAAAGCAGTTGGCTCCGCTCTCTGAGGCACCGCCCACAAGTTTTGGCGTATGAATCTCAACAAAGTCGCGACTAACGAGGAACTCACGGAAGAGGTGGCCGACAGCTGCTTGGATGCGCATGATGCACTGATTGGCAGGTGTTCGCAAGTCAAGGGGTCGCGTGTTCAGCCGAGTCTCCAATCCCACATTCACGTACGTAGATCCTTCAGCCTTGACGATAGTGTCCGAGCGAGCGGCGTCTTCCACCTGGAAAGGAAGCTCGGGCAACGCCTTGCTGACCACAAACAACTTCTCCACAAGCAGTTCCACGTCCTTTTGCGTGGTACTCACCACGGAACTCTCGGGCACACTGAGCGTCACAAAGACGTCCACGACGGACTCCTTGGGCACACCAGCTGCAAACTTGATCATCGGACGCGACACCTTGTCGCTCTCGTGCAAAATAGCTTGTATCGTCGCTGTCTGTTGACGTAGCGTGATAAACACGAGCTTCGCCTTGGCGCGCACGGTCTGGAGGTAGCCGCGCACCCAAAAGCTCTGGCCCTGGAGCTCCACGTTCAAGTCCTTGACGCTGTTTTTCAAATGCATGCAACAAAGTAGTCATAAAATACCGTCAGCTTTAATTTACCTCACTGGGCGATCTGTAGATAAACATGAGCTTCCGCCTACAGCTTATAGCCGCGATTTGGACGCTCCGTCGACTGGATGAGCGGCAGGTCGCCGTACGTGTCCGTGAGCGTCGGACCTGCGGCTACTGCAGCCGCTTTCTGGCGCTCGAGGATGCGCAGCTCCTTCTTCGTCAGCTTCTTCGGAGCAGGTGGAGCGTCCGCCATTATCGCAATAGTCACTGGAAGGAATTTGGATCGAACTGATTGGCGACGCGAATTCGACGGTTTGGGGGAGAGCCACACAGACAGACACACACAAACACCCGAGCGAAGAGAGTTAGAGCTCTGGCAATTAGAGATAGCGACGTCGAGCTCGAGATAGGGGGGCCAATCAAACGACGACAGACGCGTCGAGCCGCCACGATTGGATAAAACTAACCGCGCCATCGGCACACGAATGCGCGCGAGAGTAGCTACCAAGCGCGGCGTCAAGGTCTCGGCAACCGCCGCACCGCGCCGCTCTGCGCGTCTCCATGCAGCCAAGTCCCATAGAGCGTCTAACGGGATATGCGCTGTCACGCCGGACGTTTCTGCGCGATCTTCAGGAGCCTCACAGCCTGCGAAACGAGCGCCACAAACAGCAAACGAATGGCCAGCGGGTACGCTGTCACGCGCGTTTGAGACGCGCTACGCAGCCAGAGGCCACACAGTCGTTATTGGGGTCGATGAGGCTGGACGAGGACCACTGGCAGGTCCTGTCGTAGCGGATGCGTGTCACGTGCCGCTCGACGTGACGATCGCCGGTGTGGATGACAGCAAGAAGCTCATCGAGTGCCGGCGCGAGGAGCTCTTTGAGCTCCTGACGACTCATCCGCGCGTCACGTACGCTGTGCACGTCAACAGCGCGCAGCGGATCGACGAGGTTAACATTCTGCAGGCGTCACTCGAGTCCATGGCCAAGTCGGCGCATGACGTCGCGGAGCGGCTGCAGCAGATGGACCGTACGTTTGTCCTCGTGGACGGCAACAAACTGCCACCGACGCTACAACTTTCTGCTGAGACGGTGGTCAAAGGCGACGCGAAGGTCTACAGCATTGCAGCGGCCTCGATCATTGCCAAAGTCACGCGAGATCGGCTCATGCGCGCGTATGACCAGCAGTATCCGCAATACGGACTGGCGCAGCACAAGGGGTACCCGACAAGAGCTCACGTTGCTGCCATTGCCAGGCACGGACCGTGTGCGATTCATCGCATGACGTTTGCGCCGTTGAAGTCGAGAGTGAGTTGCAAGCAGGAGGCAAAGGACGAGTCTGCGATACACCACGAGGGCAGACGAACGACGCCGACGACGACGACGACGCCGACGACGACGCCGACGACAACAGCAGTGCCGACTGTTCTTGCTGCAGTCGAAGGATAGTAATAATGCCCATGTGTATATTTCTTGGAACAGTTTATAGATACGTTTTTTCTGCCCGACCTAAGTAGCAACCGCTACAAACGGCGACCGTCGGGTTTGCAGCGGAGCAACTCGCGCTGCGTCTTCGACCGGACTCTCCAGACTGCAGCAGCTGTCGCCGCTGCCGAGGTTGCGCGGCGAGCTCGCAAACGACGAAGTCGACAACGCGTCTGTTGGACGGCGTACCAGAGACGGCAACTTGTACGATGTCATGGTCTGGATGTGCGCTTCAAAGCAGGTGTCGCACACGCGCTGAGCCGCCGTGTAGCCCAAGTGAGGAAGCGCTAGCTGGCGGGTCGAGTGTTCGTAACAAAACGAGTGGCCACACTGGCGGCAGTGGTGGCGTCGCGCGAGTAGGTTGAACGTGCAGTCGCACTCGTAGCAAGTCGGGGCCTTGGCAAAGCGAGGGACGGCAACTCCAGACGAAACGGCCAGCGATGACGTGTAGCACGTCGAAGCATTGGAGGATGACCGCGAACGATACATGCCAGCGGATGCTGCGCGTCGGAGCGTTGGGTAATGCCGGTCTCGTCCATATACGTCATCTTCGCCATCCACGGAGCGGTCGTCAGCGTACGACGATCCAGCGTAGCTCGGGCTACCAAAGTAAGCCGGCATGCAACCGCTTGTAGCGTGCGCCGTACTGCGGGGTGTTGCAATGTTCCAGCGCGAAGAGCCCCGCTGACCGTATGACGTCAATGGTGTTGCAATGCCGAGAGGATTATCGACGGTGCAAGAACGCCTTTGCTGGCTGTAATTGTACGAGACGGAAGTCTCGGTGCAAATACTTTCCACCTTCAGTGCCAGCTCAGGCGCCTGTAGCTGCAACCGCATCGTCTCGCGCTTGATCTGCGCGGCGACGAGCTTCTGGAGCGCGATTTCTTGCTGATGCTGACGTTCTGGCGAGGGTTGAACAGCAGCTACTTCACGAATCTCTTCACGCAATTGACAAGCCTCATTTTGGACCTTCAACTCTTGAAGCCGCCACAAATCCAAGCTGTGGCGTCGATCACGCGATCGAGGAGCGCAAGGTGACATAGGCGGAGTGATGTCTTCTACTTCCGCATCTTCGTCTGCCGATGCGAGTATGGGCGGCAAACTGGAACGGCGGACACGGCGCAACTTCGGTGTCTGAGGCTTAGACGTCCGCCCGCTGTCGAGCGAATCCACGGTGCAACCGACATCACGGCCGCTCGCGACATTGGGGTTGCCGCCGTTTTCCATTGATGGAAGATCGGTCGCAACTTCAGGTTCCAAAACGTTTCGGCAGCCGCGCTGATCGCTGTCGTCTTCTGGGGATCCATCGTCTAAAGAGAGCATGACCGCCTTTTGAGGAATATCGCAAGCGGAGACGATGTCAACTTTCGACGAGAAAAGCGACGGCTGCTGGCATTCTATGGCCGCACTTTGAGCCACCATGACTTGCACCTGCCGACGTAGTTCAGCCAGCTCGTCCTTGAGCTGCGCATTATCCTGTTTCAGCTTGGCCACGTTTCGGCTCTCCTCGCGCAGTGCCTTCAGCGCCCGCTTAGCAGTACGACAACGCGTCGCGCACTGGAGCGCCAAAACAGCACTGCAGAGCTTCCGGTACTTCCGCTGAGCTGAAGACCGCCGCCAAGCTGTCGAGATGAGAGTCACAGCACGCGCTTGACGAAGCGCCTCCACAACTCGTGTGGCGCGGCGGCATCGAAAGCGGCACTGCACCGCCAGTACACCTGCCCGAGCACGAAGAAACCTGCTACGCGCGCACAGCTGACGCATTCTTGCTTGCAATACACGAGCTCGTTGCATTTCGCGTAGCCAGCAAACGTATCGGCAGGCGCGTTGTCCTCGCACGCGGGCTTGGATTTCGATTGTGACTTGGCGAAGGTGTCGGTAGCTACGGCGCGCCACGAATCCTCTCACGTGCTTTTGTATGACAAGGCTTGCCTCTTGACGTACAGACACGCGGAGGTTTTCCAGCTTCTCGTATGGCTTGCGACGGAAAAAGACCCGCGTCTTGCCAAGACTGACGCCGAGTCGAGCCTGTCGTTTCTTCTCATCACCACCGTCTTCGTCTTCCATCGTTCCGTCAGCAAGAACTTGGATGAGCTGATGCAGGCACAAGTCCATTCCGCTCCGGCTACAGCGTTTTGTTCCGGCAACACTATCGCCGGATTCGCAGAGCGAGAGTAGTACGCGACGGTAACGACCGAGGAATTGCTCATGCGATAGACGCACGGGGAAGCCTGCGCGGGCAACTCTCACTGCTTCAAGGACACCACCACTGCGTAGCTGCTCGACCACTCGGGTGCTTTGGAAAAGAGAGCCCACGTGCGAGTCATTGGGCTTGATGCAGCGCACATACCGAGGTGTCGTAGCGCGGACAGTAGCCAATAGCTCGTTCAGCTGGATCTTGAACTGAGTGCCCACGCTGACTGCTGCGATGGCCGACTTGGCACGTCGACGGGCCCGGCCGCCAGCACCTTCGACCTCTGCGTCCACGCGGGCACCGTTTTCATCCACCGATCCTGCGGCAAGGGCTTGAATAAGCGGGTTAGACGATCCCGCCAACAGCTGCGCCGCGCTCTCGCCCAAGGAGTCTTTGTTTTTCGCAAGAAACCCATCGATGGTATAAGTGACGCAGCCTGCATAATGTGCCACGACGAACTGAGTGGAGCGCTGGATGAGAGGGGCCGGTCGAAAATGCGGGTGCTGTGTCTTCTTCTCAAACTCCTGGTAGTATTTGGCAACGAGGGCGCGGTCGGTGCCTTGAGGAAAGACACACTCCTGGTCCGTGAGTGAAAAAATGCCAATCGGTCGACGTTCGTAGAGCTCGAGACACGCGCGGTTGTTCGGGAAATCGACAAAGCTCCAGCAGATGCCCTCGTCTCGGTACAGCCGCTGCTCTTCTTCGAAAACGTACTGATTGAACTGATGTTGCAACGCCTCATTCGCGTAATTGATGCAGAGTTGTTCAAACGAGTTCTCGGCCATGTCTTCAAATCCAAAGATATCGAGCAGTCCAATGAAATCGACCGACTTCGCGTCATCTTCGTCGTCGTCCTGGCTGGCACCCCAGGGCTGTTGCTGCAGTTTGTTATTGACGCGTGCGACAAGCCATTCGAACAAAAGACGGTAGCACTCCATCGTCACTGCGTTCCGCGTGTTGCGGGCGTACGCGACGTCAACTCCCACGACTAACGTCTCGTTGGACACGTGCAGCTGGCGCTTCGTCAGTGCATGATCTAACGCTTCCGTCGAGACGCCCAAGAGCTCCGCCGCCTTTGTAAAGTGGTTGCACTCGCCGACCGTCGACGTCAAAATGCGCGCCTCGTCCGCAAACACATTATCTTCGCGCCGATGCGGCACCTGTTCAAAATCCACATTGCCCATATGCAGCACTGCCGCGACGATCTCCAGCACGCCATGGACCTCGCACTCGCTCATCCCCAGTTGCCGCATGGCTCGCTGCGTCGCACGGAACTGCACGGCGTCCTTGACACCGTCGCGTCGCTTCGAGCATCGGCTTTGATTCAAGAGACGAAAGTTCTGCGGTCCGCCCGTGATCGCCAACGCCTGCCGCTGCTCTTCGCTCACGCACGAGCGATCGGCGCTCAAGAGCTCGTAGAAAATGTGGAAATTGCGCTCGTTCGTTGCCTGTTTGATCACGCGGATCTTCTCCAAGAGATACGTTCGGATGCGAGCGCCCGCGAGTCGCCGTCGCTCGTCCCGGAAGCGCAGCTCAATGAACTTGCCAAACCGCGAGCTGTTGTCGTTCCGCACGGTGCGCGCGTTCCCAAACGCTTCCAGAATCGGATTCGACTGCAGAATCTGCTCCTCAATCGTCGGACGGGGCGGCAGAGACACAAGACCCGACGCCTCAGCAACTACCGCCGCCTCGTGACTGGTCGTGATTGTGCTCTGGCTCTTCCGCGCGCCGCACGTGATGGCAAAGTACGTCATAATGATCTTCGTGGCCTCGGTCTTCCCTGCGCCACTCTCGCCGCTAATGAGGATCGCCTGACTGCGTCCGTGCTGCACAATGTCCACGTACGCGGCTCGTGCCACCGCAAAGAGGTGCGGCTCGCTCGCGTCCGTGGCACTCACGTCGCTCAAGCGGCTGTCCCGGTCATTGTACGCGTACCGCTGCAACACGTCGTCGCCGTAGAGCTGCGGCAGGCGCTCGAACGGGTTGATCGAGATCAGAATGTCGCCAATGTGCGTGTAGATCGCGTGGCGCGCGTAGCGCAGCCGCAGCGCGTGGAGAATCGATGCCTCGTGCAGGTGCGGCAGCGCCACGAGGTCGCGCTGGTCCTGTTCGCCCGCGCGGTTGCGGGGCAGCACGTTTACACACGCGCCCGAGGCGTCAAACGCCAAGCGCACGTCTCGTTGGTCGTTGTTGTTGTTGTTGTTGTTGCTGCTGCCGTTGTTGTTGCTGTCAATGTCGTTGCTGTCGATGGCAACGCGCACGGCGGTCGGCCGCGCTTCGAGGACGCGGGCGGCGAGCCACACGCGCTCGGGGCTCTTCGCTGGGTCCGCGACCCACACGCGCGCGCCGTCGTCCATTGGTGGACTAAGATGTCAGTGGGCAATGCGGCGGTCCGACTAGTGAGAAGACAGACAGACGACAGACACGCGCACAAGTGGCTGCTCTTTTGTTGTTGATCGCCGCGTCGTCGTTGGTGCAATGTGGTGTGGTGTGGTGTGGACGTCGAGCGTGCGCGTTGGATGGAAAAAGTCGCACTGTGCAACTCCAACGGCGCAATGGCTCGGGGCGGTGGTGGCCGGGCAGTCCGTCCGCGCTCCATGACCGGGAGGATGGGCATCTCAGGCGGTTTTTTGCGCCAATAAAAAGCGCAGATGCGGCAACTGCAATCCTCAAGAGCCGTCGTCGACGGCCGCGCGAAGCGTGACGAAAGCCGTGGCGACGGCTGGGGGCGCACATGTCGCAGGGGCAACGAGGCAGAGACGATTGCTGTTGCCACCCAAGTGGCTGTGTGGCTGCCGTGGGAACTGAAGAAGGTGTGCGCGATCGGAGGTCGACGGAGACGGACGTGCAGCGAATTCACTCGGCAGCCGCCTCTGTGGGTGAAGCCAACTTGCTGGCGCGCTCATTTCCTTTGGCAGAAAAAGGTCGAGCGGAAACGGCCAGCGCGCAACGTCAGGCGGGTCCGTTTTGTGGTCACTCGTCGCTCGCTCTTTACAGGGCACTGCGAAGAAGCGCTGCGGTTCGCAGCACAGCGCTTTGACGGCGTTTGCTGCCACTGCACTGTTGCACGACAGATGGAGCTACAATGAGACGGCTAGGAGCGACACCCATGGCTGCGGGAGAGGCTCTGTTAACTACAGTTGCTGCGGCTGCGACTACTACTGCTGCTGCTGCTGCTGCCGCCCGCAGCACGCTCTTTTTTCTCAGACTGCGCGACGGTCGGGCGCCGCGTCCGCGCGAAACGCCCAGGCCAAAATTTCGCTCGCGCGCAGCTGACGTCGGTCTGGGAAGGCCATTGGCGGCGGAATCGAGCCGGACCGCTGTTGCGGAACAAGTCGGTGCGCTACGGTCGGTAGGCTTGTCCACGCCGGGAACGATCGGCTCGTGAGCGGGCAACGGGCGGCAGACGAGCGGTCGGGTGCAAAGCAAGATAAAGATCATTGCTGTTGCTGTTGCCGTTGCCGCCGCTGTACTTCAAGCTCCGCGGAGACGTGAATCCAGCGGTTGCCCAGACTTGTTGAAACGCGGTTCTTCACGTCGTTTCGGATGTTTTTTCTCCGGCTGAGACACGCCGAGGCGACAAGTTTGGCGTCAAGTGCAGGATGATGCACTGTACTACTGTACGACTGCAGTATAGACAAAGACGTACAACTGTGCAATGAGTCAATACGTCGTGGGCTCGTACGATTGTGACGCGAGCAGCAGCAGTAGCAGCAGCAGCAGTAGGGACACCCTCAGTGACAATGACAGGCTACGCAGCAGGTGGAACAGACGCTCGAACCCCTCGTAGTAATACACGTCCGACTATCATTATCTCTCTTCCTCCGCTCCTCCATCCCTGCGCCGCTACTGGCGCAGCGAGATGCTTATTGTCTTCGCAGTAACTAGCTAAGAACGCCATGGCGTTGAAATCCGACACGCGGGTGCAGTCGGCCGGCCGGAGCGCAGGACGCCAGCGGGTCGCGTACAAGTGCTCGCTTAGGAGCTGCTCCAGCGCGATTGGTTCACGTCGTTCGAGGTGTTGCCAACCTGGACACCACCGTTGCCGTATTGGTGATAGCTCTGCTGTTTTGCTGCTGCTGCTGTTGTTGCTGCTGTTGCTGTTGTTGCTGCTGTTGCTGCTGGTGTGATGGCGACTGCTGGTAGCCCTGCGGCATCATGTGGCCCCATCCGCCAACAGGTTGCGCACCGTAATTGCCCGCCCAGCCGTAATGCTGGCCGTACGAACCAGTCATAGCCGCCGACGCGTTAGGCACCGGCGGCGATGTGTGGTCACGGCCTGCGTTCTGGTACCCTTGTATGCCCGTAATGCCGTGCTGACCGTGAGCTTGCTGCGCGCCAGCTCCGCCAGCGGCAGACGTAGAGCGGCCCTTACCATGACCTTGTGGGCCATTCTGGTGGACGTGGTGGCCACCCTGCTGCATCGGCGGTTGCTGCATGTACGCGGCATTGATTTCGCCAAAGCCCTGGGGCACAGCTCCGGCATATTCGTGCTGCTGGGCCATCATGTGCTGATCCTGGTAGGGCATATTCGGCGGATTAGAAAATCCTGGAACGGGCCCTTCGACTCCGTATGGCATGCTGCCGCGCGGCGGGTACTGCGTGCGCGGGCTATACTGCGCGAACTAGGCAACGTCACAAAACAGTACACAACGTGAGCAGATCCATCCTCACACACGAAAGCAGCAGCAAGTCGACACACAATACTAACCTGCGGGTTCTGGTAGTAGCCGTAGCCCTGGTAGTAGCCGGCATAATTGTACGGGTTGTACGGCAGCGCCATGCCTGGTGGGGGAGGCGGGGCGTAGTGATAACCTTGCTGCATACCAGCCTGGGCTTGCTGGTGCAATTGGGCAGCCGTCTGCTGCTGAGACTGGTTCTGCTGCTGCTGCGGCTGCTGTTGTTGCTGAGCTTGTTGCTGTTGCATTTGTTTGAGCTCGTTTTGCTGCTGCATCTGCTGCTGTTGCGGTGTCGGTTGCTGCAGAGGCATTTGCTGCGTCTGAATCACGGACTGTTGTGCACGAGTAGGCGGCGATTGGGACGCAATCTGAGTAGCAGCGCCACGAGCAACAGCGCCCTTTGGCGTTCCACTGCCTGCTGAGAGCTGTCCGGGGGCCGACGTGGCAGCAGCACGGGTAAGATCCATCGAGTACTGGCCATACGTAGACTGGTACAGGCCCGCGCTGTAGCCAATGTTTGTCTTCTTTGTTTGTGTCGCTGACCCGCCTGAACCTTGGAAAGGTATTGTCTGGGTGCGCGTAGGGGTACCACGCTTGACCTCATCAGGCTTGGGAAGTGATGCAGGAGACGGAGCTGATGGTGCGTACCGGGGAGACTGTCCTCTGATCGGTGTTACACGGCCCGAGTCCACCGCCAATCCAGGAGGCACAGAACTCGCAGCTTTCATAGCAGTTACTTCCTGCATGCGGGACTGCACACTGCGGTCGGGCGAAAGCGTCTTCTTCACCGAGACGTTTGTGGTGCCCCATCCACTCTGAGTGGTGGAGGGTTTGACCATGGTTTTGCCACCACTGTTTGAGCTGGATGCAGTAGTCGTAGTCGTCGAGGCCCAACCACGCGGCGACGTCGGCTCGAGTGTGTCCATGCCAGTCAGGGAGAAGCTGCCAAACTGTAGCGACAGGTTCGGCGTTGCGGCGCTATCCCACTTGCCCATCTTGAGATACGGCCGAGGACTTGTCGACGCCGACTCACTCGAACGAGGCGCGTCAGTATCCTTCGGAGATTCCGGCACAGCCATCGACTTTGTTGCGTCAGGCGACTTCGGTGAGGGGGCGTCTTCCTTGCTAGCGGGGGGGAGAGGACAGGGCTACCACGCGCCCATGCACGCGTAGCCGACGTCTTTTTGGGTTCAGTTGCATCCGTCGCAGTAGATGCAGACCACTTGTCCATCGTTGACGTGGATACATCCAGCGCACCCCATCCGGCACCAATGCTCGAGTTAGGAGTCTCTGTGGTAGTCTCAAGACTTTTCGCCGCCTCTTCGTCAGCCGTTTTTTTCGGAGAAGCCTGGGGACTGGCCTCTTTCGGCATCGCCTCCGCAGTTTCAGTCGGTTCAGCAACGTCAGCTTTCTCACCATCTGGTTCAAGTGTGCTGCATTCAGGTGTCTTTTCACCGCTTTTTTCTTGCCGCGTCTTTTTCTTCGGGCTAGAAGGATCGACGTCTTTTGCTGTCTCCGTAACAGTCGCATCCTCAGTTGCTGTCACGGGTGCTGTCGGTTTCTCGGCTGGCTTCGACACCGTCGAAGAAGCAGTCGTAGGAGCGGGCGTGGAAGTGCATTCTGCAACAGCCTTAGCGGTCGTGGTGGCACCGTTGACATTCAACTTCTTTGTCCACGCGCCTGTCAGCACGGGGTACACGACAGGAGGTACCTGAGCAACGGACTGCGTCGTGGTTGCTTTCGTGGTTGCTTTCGCGGCAGTCTTCGCACCACGCTCCCTCTTCGAATCTTTATTCGACTTGGACGATTGCTGCACACTCGTTTCATTGGACGAGTTCGTGCCATCGGTACACGTATCGTCTATCTCTGGACTGTCCATGTCATTGTCCCCGCTACGGTGCAGACTGCTGGTAGCAGCAATGACGGCGCCGCCACGACTGCGACCACTGCGGCCGCCTCGTCCACCGCGCGAAGAGCTCGTGCCTCGACCCCTCGTACTCGCGCGGCCTCCTGACGGAAGACGCTCAGACGATCTGTGGGTCGGTGCGTCGCCATTGGGCAACGCATCAGCGTGATTGTCCTGCGGGTGCTGTGTCTTCTGTGACGAATAGGAGCGCTGGAACGGGGTGTCCTGTTGTCAAAGCAGAGTCAAAAACGCGAGAAAAAGAGACACACACGTGTCAGCACCAAATGCACCACACACATTGCCGGCCTCCACGACAAGGAGAACACAACAGACAGATAGATAGATAGACAGAAAGACAGTAAGAAAGAGCCACGAGCCGCACGTGTTTCTTCTTGGCGGTCTTCTTGGAGACAGTGGCCCAAGCGTCGTCCTGGCCGTGACCGCGGTAGTCCTCCCACAGTTCGCTAATGACGTTCTCCATGCGCTGCGCGTCCCCTTTGCACTGGCCAATCATCTCCTGGATGTGGCTGTCGGGGGTCCCGGGGGGACAGAGCTCGCGGTACGTCGCCACCTGACGAATGAGTCGGTCCCAACACACAAACAACACACAAACAACGCACTTTGAGTGAGCCCGTATACTCACGAGTAACGCTTAAACGTAACCCACGACACGAAAGCAACTGCGCGCGCGACTTACTTCACGCGACGCACTGCTGCCGCCTTTGAGCGTCGTGGAGGAAGTGATCTGTTCGTCGAGGCGTTTCATCTGCAAACCCTTCTGCAAGAAGTAGTCGCGTTTACTCATCGTCTGCTCTGTGTGCGTCTGTGTGTCTGTGTGTGGGTGTGGGTTTCTGCGACTGGAGGGGGCGGAGCGGGGCCGTGGGGCAAAGAGTGATGGTCTCTTTGTCCGTACCAAACGAAAATCAATGGGCCGGGCTCCCTACACGAGGATACCGACCGGGCCGATAAAAACCTCAGCCTCTCGTCCACTAAGAACGCAGAAGGTTTAAAGAAATAGAAACGACCTCGAGGCGGTCGAGGGGTTTAAAAAGGTCGGCGTGTGTTTTATTCATTGCGCCATCATCGCACTAGAGCTCTCCACACTCCGTGATTGTGATCCCGAGCTTGGGTTTGCTACTGGGGCCGACAGGGACACTCTCCATCTTGCGCAACAAAAGCAGCGACGCTGGATCCAGCACTTTGCCAAAGACCACGTGCTTGCCGTCCAGCCAGTCGCACGGCGCGCACGTGAGGAAAAACTGGCAGCCGTTCGATCCGGGCCCGCTGTTTGCCTGCAGCAGCAGCAACAAGAATGGGTCAGCAACGCAGCGACGCAGCGACACCAGTAATCAGAGATCGAACAGGACGTGAGACTTACCATGGACAGCAGTCCAGCCTCCGTGTGCTTGTGGATGAAGTTCTCGTCGTCAAACTTGTCACCGTAGATACTGATGCGACCAGTGCCGTCGCCCTACATTTAGCGATACCAACCGCGCAGCGTCACTTCCACGACGAAAGCATCGCACCGTCATTCACGCACGCAGAGACGCTTCGTACCTTCATAAAGTCTCCGCCTTGCACCATAAAGTCCTTGATCACACGATGGAACGTCGAGCCTTTGTAGCCCACTGGTAGCTCCGATTTCCTGTACGTCGACAACAACACCTGCGTCAGCCGATAGCCTCTCTCAGTCCAACGTGCCAGTCACATGATCGTACCTGTACTCTCCTGTGCAGAACTGTCTGTGGACAGGTGAGCGGTGCATGAAAAATAGCAACAAGACCATGAACCCAAAGAGTGTCGAAAAGACTCCGTCGTTAGCAGTAGCCAGTCACTTTATTGCGCGTGTGGCTCACCTAAAGTTCTCGACCGTGCGCGGGCAATCCTTCTTGAACAGCTCTAGGCGCAGACGGCCGACAGGTACGCCTCCGATCGAGACGTCGAGGAAAACCACCGGGTTGCCTCGCCGCAGGGCGTCGCTCAACGCCGCGTCCATTGTGCGCAACAATGACGTTTACTCGTTCGTGCACGCTCTAATTTGGCGTGGATGATGAAAGGGAATATCGGATAGTTTAAACAGAAAACTTTTGATTTGGTGCCTCACAATTTCGACGTTGCTCGACGGGAAGATCAAAGTGTTTAAAACAGTAGAGATCAAATCCTAGATGTCCATGTACTTGCGCTTCGTATCAACTTTCATTGACCACAGCGAAGCTTCCGACCTTTGTACAGTCTTGTGCCCAGCAATTGAGTGCCGCCATCGCTCAGTAGCCACATCAATCTTCAAAACAGCATCTTCGTGCAGCACAAAGGAGCTACGAGCAACGGAGCTACGAGCAACGGAGCTGGATTGGTAACGATAGTTGTAGTTGTAAGCGGCTGTAGTTGTAGCTGTACAATATGTAATATCGAGGCAAGTCATCGCTGAGAATACGGGCAGCAGTACCTCCGTGGTAAATTACCGCGACACATACGACTTAATATATACAAAAGCAAAAACGGCTCCATGCTGCACAAAAGTCGTCGTGAATAGTGTGGACCCCACAAGATCTGGCCTCGCTCGGCCTGCTGACGGGTGGTACTCCATTGCAGCCTCTTGCACTCGGACCCGTCTCTTGTCTCGCGCGAGTGACGCTGATGTCGCAATTCGATTGCTTCGCTGCCAGAAATCGACACTCCGAAACGTTTGGCTCCACATCAGTAGCGTGATAGCGCAAGCGAAAGAAAGCTCCACGACTAAACGATCGATAGGCCAGATTGCCCGCCTCTTTTGCGACGACGACGGTGCAGTCACGCGATTCCGCTTCGTAACGAAACAGCGGCGAGAAACGTGAATGGATGCACACAAGCACGTTGCGGCAATTGCACGTGTGTGTGTGCAAACGTCGAAGCCGAGAAATCGACCCACGAACAGGAAAGTTCGAGTCAGAAGCTGATGCTGTTCGTTTACGCATCTGATCTCGATGCTGCTGTTGTGGTGCTAGTTTCGAACTGTAAAACGAAGTACCGGCGGTGCACATTAGGCGTGGAATCTACGAGACTCCTGCAATCGTTTTGTAGCTATACGACCACGTCTGCCTGTCACGCGAGCGACATTCACCGAAGTAGTGCGTAATTCGGTGAGGGTCGTCGAAGAAACGGTGGAAGCTCGAGCGACAATGCCGGCAATTGTATCGAGCTTGCATGCCTACAATGTGTGGCATCGAACCCGTGATGGTTTTGTTTCTTGGGCCAGGAATCTGGACATGGTGCGCTCCCATGTCCACGGACGCCGCAGCTGCAAGCAAAAAGCATCCGCGATGAGGTGGATTCTTTGGCAGAGAGCGCTATGGCGACTTTTTTCGCTGAATATGCACGAAGAGTCTTGCCCTCATGCTGCGTGGCCACGTGACGCAAGCCTACCGCTGTGAGAGATTGGCGTTGCAGTTCTGGAAACTGTTGCGTCTACGGGCAGAAAGTATACGACGAGGAGCAAGTAAGTAGGATGAACAAATGACTGTGAGGAGATAGCACGATATGCGGGAGAAGTCAAGCAGTGGTCGCGTTGCTCGCAGGTTCAGGTGGCGATAGGTAGTATCCAGTGCAATCTGTCCTCAAGATATCCCATTTCTTGCGCGTCTAATGCGTCCTGCGCGTCTAATGCGTCCAGCGCGTCAGCGATCATCCGGTGGATTTTGCATCGAATGGGTCGTTTAGTGCGTATCGATCCGTGGCGCAGGCCAATCAGCATGTACAGACATACGTCAACACAACGTGCAGAGGGCTACTAGTTTGTTGTATCTTTTGCGCGCCTAATGCCGTGCGACCGGTAAAGCTTGTTGCAGTCTGCATCCCAAATCACCAGCATGTTCATTGGCTGTCCTCTCATGCCTAGTGCCTTTATCTGCGCATGTTCGGGTCGCTGCAACGTGAATTGCTACGACGAGCGTAAACATGTCGATGGCCTGCACATGTCGCAGTAGTTCCACGCCCGCTGTCGTTGTTCGGCCGAGTATCAAGTCCAGGACTCGGCGTGCGGTCGCCTCTGTTCTCCACCGTATAACCGGTCGCGTGCCGGGGCGACGCCGACGTCCGTCGTGTCCACAATCCACCGAACAGCGCGAATATCCAGTCAGTGCAACTGTTTCGACCACACGGTCACGGTCACGATCGCGGTCACGGTCCCGGTCCCGGTCACGGGCGATTGTCCCACCAACTGCACCACGCAGCCCACCAGCGCGTAGCGTTCCCGTCACGTCTGACACGCCATTCGCCGTTTCCCGCATGACGCTCGAGCTGTACCCGTCGTCCGTGCGCGACGCGTTCCAGGGCGCCGACGTCCCCTACTCGCCCCACGTCGTCCACTGCGCCCAGCGCGTCCACGAGGCCATCAGCGGCCCGCGCGTCGACAAGGAGACGCTCCTCTCGGACCTGGCGAGTCAGTCGCTCGAGACGCGCAACGTCCTGGCGCTCTGCTACCAGGAGCTCTACTGCCAGTCGCTCCCGAGCGCGTTCGACGGCGCCGCTCTGGACGACGACGTTGTCCGTCTGCTGCGGCTGCTCGCGACGCCGCTGCCGGAGCTCGAGGCGCAGCTGCTGCGCGATGCCGTCAAAGACGCAAAAGGCGCTGCGACGGCGGGGCTCGTGATGGAGATCATAGCCGGCCGGACGAACGACGAGATGAGTGTGCTCAAGAGCGCGTACTACGACGTGGTCGGGAAGGACGTGGCCGTCGCGATGAGTGTGGCGTTCAGCGGCGACTTTCGCAAGGTCGTCCTGGCAGTGCTGCAGACCCCTCGAGTGGCGTATGACCGGGCAGTACACAATGTTGCCAAGGCCGAGGAAGATGCGGCGGCGCTGTACAAAGCAGGGCAGGGACGGCTGGGTACGAACGAGGAGGTGTTTATCGGACTTCTGGTCAAAGCGCCAGTGGAGTTCCTCAAGATGATGGACACAGTGTACGCGGGTAAGTACAACAACGACATTGCGAAAGCAGTGGAAAAGGAGTTCAGAGGCGATGCTAGGAAAGGTCTGAAGTACCTCGTGCGGCGAACGATGGACCCGTATTCTGCGATGGCAGAGGTGTTTGAACAGACGCTGAAAGCTTGTGGAAGGGACAAAACGAGGCTGAGCACGACGTTGATACGCTACCAGTCAGTGTTGCCGTACGTGAAGGCAGCGTATAAGACTCTGTACCAAAAAGGACTGCGTGATTGCATCCGTGACGAGACGAGTGGAGACTACAGGAAACTCGTGCTAGGTGTGTTTGATGCACCTCACGATCGTTCGAAAACGATGATGAAGGAGTCAACTAGGGCTATGTCGTCTGGCGGACTTGGCGGGATGACACTCACAGGTGGTAGCGGATCAGACGGGAGAAGGCATATCTCGAGTCTTAATAGTCTGCATTCGTCGTCCCGAAGCTATAGTGCCACAAGGTGGACAGCACCAGCAGGGCAGCAAGGTTCGGATCGGACCCTGTCGACCACCGACGAAGTTGTGCATGATGTGGTTTCGCACCATGCCCTACCTCACGTGTCAAGTTTGCAGTCGAGTGAATACTCATTAGAGACAGTTACTTCAGAGGCCGAAGGGTTATCGCAGCATGAACGCAGTCGTTCTGAGGTCAAAATGTCAGGACCTCAAACTTCTGGCGATTCTTCTCCACGGCAACGGCCTCGACACTTACCACAGCAGCAGCAAGAACAAGAACGGAAACATCACCAGCAGCAGCAGCAGCAGCAGCAACTGCAACATGAAGAAGACAAACAAGAGCAGCAGCAAGAGGAACAACGACGACAAGAAGCTGAATCGCGAGAACTGCACCGACAAGAAGAAGAGCTCCAACTACAACAACAGCGTGAAGAAGAACAAGAGCAGCAGCGACAAGTAGAAGAAGTACGACTGCAACAAAAACGACAACGCGAAGAAGTACTTCGACAAGAACAAGAAGTGCGATTGCAGCGACTACGACAACAACGTGAAGAAGTACTACGACCACAAGAACAAAGACAACGTAAAGAAGAAAAACGACAAGAAGAAGAACAAGAGCAGCAACGACAACGTGAAGAAGAAGTACGGCTACAAGATACAACGTGAAGAAGCACTACGGCAAGAAGCAGAACAAGAGCAGCAACGACAACGTGAAGAAGAATTGCGACTGCAGCAGCAACGACAACGTGAAGAAGAAGTACGGCTACAACAACAGCGTGAAGAAGAACAAGAGCAGCAACGACAAGAAGACGAATCACGACTACAACGACAACGCGAAGAAGAAGAAGAAGAGCAGCAACGGCAAGCAGAAGAACAACGACAAGAAGAAGAATTACGAGTGCAGCAGCTACGACAACAACGTGAAGAAGAACTGCGTCTGCAACGACAACGTGAAGAAGAAAAGCGACAAGAAGAAGAGCTCCGACTAGAACAACAACGACAACGTGAAGAAGAACTGCGACTAAAGGAGGAAGAACGACTGGAGCAACTACGTCTACAGCAGCAACGACAACGTGAAGAAGACGAACTACGACTGCAGCAGCTACGACAACAACGTGAAGAAGAAGTGCGGCTACAACGACAACGGGAAGACGAACTGCGTCTGCAACGACAACGTGAAGAAGAAAAACGACAAGAAGAAGAGCTCCGACTAGAACAACAACGACAACGTGAAGAAGAACTGCGACTAAAGGAGGAAGAACGACTGGAGCAACTACGTCTACAGCAGCAACGACAACGTGAAGAAGACGAACGACAAGAGGAGCTCCGACTGCAACGACAACGTGAAGAAGACGAACGACAAGAGGAGCTTCGACAACAACGACAACGTGAAGAAGAACAAGAGCAGCAACGGCTGGAGCAACTACGTCTACAGCAGCAACGACAACGTGAAGAAGAACTACGACTAAAGGAGGAAGAACGACTGGAGCAACTACGTCTTCAACAGCAACGACAACGAGAAGAAGACAAACAGCGACAACGAAAAGAAGAACAAGAGCAGCAACGACCACGAGAAGAAGACAAACAACGACAGCGAGAAGAAGAACAACAACGACAGCGAGAAGAACTACGACTGCAACAACTTCGACGACGACAACACGAATCACGCGCTCTTCCTTCCCAACAGCAAGAATTGAGGCAATCGGTGCAGCGACCGCAGTATCAAGGTCACCCCCAATCTTCGAGTTATCATCAACAGTCGCAGCAATCTGGGTTTCCAGCTCAGCAGCAGCCACACCAGACCAGCTATCCTCAGCCGCATCAGCAGTCGATCTATCTACCCCAGCAGCAGCAGAGCTATCCACCGCCGCAGCAGAGCTATCCACCGCCGCAGCAGCAGCAGAGCTATCCGCCACCGCTGCAGCCTCAGTCTAGCTACCCTCCGCCACCCCAGTCAGGACACACGCCCCTTTCGCAACGGTCAAACTCGCCGCAATCGACCCACCCGACTCAGCACCAGCAACTCTATCCGTCCCTACAGTCGATCTACCCTCACCAACAGCAGCAAGGTCATCCGCCTCAGCAGCCGATTTACCCACCCCAACAGCAGCAAAGCTATTCGTTACCCCGATCCGGCTACGTGCCCCAGCAGAGCTATGTCTCGCCGCAGCAGTCGAGTTATCCGTTGCCACAGCCTGGTTACTCGTCTCGGCACCTTCCGACTTATTCTCAGGTGCAGCATCCTAGCTACCCAGCCAGTCAAGCGCATCACCAGTATCCGCCTACTGGTCAGCAGCTGCCAAACCAGCCGTACCAGCAGTACCCACCCCCCTCATCGTCAGGGTATCAGTTTCCGCATGGAGCTGCGTCTAGCTACTCCGTGTCTTCTGGAGGACACTACGCACTAGGAGGTTATTCAGCTCGTGGACAACAGCAAATGCAGTACCCTGCTCCGAAAGGATATCCTCCACACGGCGGGGTGTGAGGTGTGCAGGTGAGACGAGAAGTGGGGCACGTTATCGTTCGGACCGCCGGACTCGACTGAAGGGATGAGGCTATGTCAACAAGCGGACTTGTGACAATGGACGAAGCGATGAAGTCTGAAGGTCAACAGCTCAAGTCCGTTGCATAGATTTTCGAGATCTGAACAAGATATCACTGCAATGTCAGGCTTGCCCGGTGCAAGAAGAGTTGTTCTGAGAGGCGTACAAAACGAAGTGAGCCCTATCTTTGATACCTCTTGCATTGGATGAGGCAGATCTTCCTTGGACTGTGTCGGACAGCGTCAAGCGTCCTTTATGACAAAGTGGTGGAAGTATCGTGCAATTGGAGCAAATATGCGTGAAGACGAGGTTTGATTGTTTGTAGCGATAGAGATATTAGGATGGTGTGGCGCTTTGGACGAGTTCACAACGCAGTTTGCTCGTGGATTGGTGCACTGAGAGCGAGATGGGATGGCTGAGAAAGGCAGAGACGAGAGTCGCTGTCCGATCAATCGGTACAAGTGCTTGGTAAGCAAATGCCCGATCCTCAAGTGCTGGCGTATAAAGGCAATGGCCGTTCATGCAGAAAGTCTGACGTCAAAGAGGGTGCAAGCCGCATCCGCCACGGCCGCGTAGTGCCTGCATGAGGTCAATGAGTGTTCGTAAAGCGAAGCACAGATTTGTCTGACTTGGATCAGTCACTCACGCAGTTCCAGCAAGTGGCAAAGCTGTGGAGCGCCGCAAGCCACATGAATGCTCAAGTGCTCATGTCTGAGAGGCAGTGAATGAACGGGGTCCACAAGAGCGGGACGTGCGGTCGGTTTACAGAGTTGATGTATGAGTGCGCTTGGTCGTAGAGAAGTGAGAAAGGGTGATGGTTGATGTCGAGCGAAGCAGCTTTGACCGAAGCGTGAGAGACACCGCGTGATGAGTGATGGGACTTCGCCAAGGGGGCACCACCACCCACCGACGATTGTTCGAACCTCATTACTCATTTTCTCCAAGGATCAGCACTCGCCGTCCATTCCTCGCCCACTGACTCCGTGATGAAGCCCATCCAGTTCGTCCTTTCGCTCCTTGTTGCCGCAAAGCTGGTAACGACTAGCACCGCTGGCTACGAGTGGCATCCGGAGGCCGATGTTGAAGTCCCCGGCGACGACAAGGTCGTTGTCCACCCCCAACACGCGTTGCGACGCGCGCAAACCACGTTGGACTTGGGGTCCGAGTCTGGTAGTCTGGATGGTACTACCGACGCAACGTCGACGACTGAAACGGAGCTACCTACGACGATCATGGTGCTACTGCCTGACAACCTTGCTCCAAGCTACTCTGGCTCGGGCAGTGTCATGTTCTTCGATGGAGCCATAGGAGAAAAGGACAAGAGCGAGAGCAAGTCGGCAAGCTCGGACGCTACTGGTGACGAGGCATCCAGCGCAGCGTCGGTCGAGATGATGACAGTGCTGACCGCGTTTACGATGGTACTTGCAGTTGCCGCGCTGTAAGTAGGTCGAGTGTGTACATCCCAGCACTGGTCACCAAGGTTATATATGCTACGGTGGAAGAGCTCACGAGATGAAGCGCCGGCAAGCAGCTAGATGGTCTAGTCAACGAATCGAAATGTACCCGATGAATGTAAAGCTGCTTTGTACTTTACCACTGCGTTGTGTGTTGCTTCAAGCTTCCCGAGGAGCAGCAATGCGACCCGCGTTTATTTGATGTACTGAAGGAAGACGAAGTAGGAGGATCCGTAGATGGTACATTCATTCACCACCTAGAGGCTCTTTGTGGCTGACTGCTACAACTAGAGGCTGTTGACTTCACCTACGATGTTCACCTTGTATCCCTTGAAGAGAGGCGGCAGCGCAGCTTCCAGCTATACGGTAACACAAACAGTAAGTACTTTTGAAATCGATCAAAACGGCACGGCACAATCAACCATGTACCTACCTCCTTCTTCAACTCCTTCGTTGTCGCAATGAGTGAACTGATCTGCCGCTGAGCTTTCTTCGACGCATCAAACAAGTTCACGTTCTTGTCCTCCAGATCGTGAATCTCACGGCGGCATTTATCCATATGCTTGGTCAGCATTTCCAGACTCGCCACGTGTCGGTCCAAATATCGCTCCGAGGTTTCGATAAGTACCAGTTTCTGCAGGCGTTTGCTTGTCAGCAACGACACAGCTTTGTCCACAGCAGCCTGAAACTTCTCGACTTGCGCTGAACTTTGCTGTTCCAACAGCGCTACTCGTACAGTACACCACATCAATGTTATCAACAAGTCTCGGTCATAGTCAGATACTGTCACATGGAAAATCCTTACGAGAGAGGCCCTGAAACTGGTTCGCAAAGGCAATCGAATCGCTCCCAGAGAGCTCAAGTAGTCGCTGGCGAAGGAACGCTCGCAGTTCCAGCAGGTCGTTGAGAACACGCGTGCGAAACTCACTGTCGCGCAGGAGCTCCACACGGGTGGTCTTCGCAGCAATAGCTGGCGTGCTTGGCATCGTTCCCACGACACCGCTTCCTTCCGCACTGATGTCCGCGCCGACGGATTTCACAACATCCACAGTTGTGATATCCCAATCAATTTCGACCGGCGCGTCTTCAGCTGTAGCGTCAAGTTCGGCAGATCCCACCGTTTCGATGCCCCAGTCAATCACATCAGCATTCGCTGTGCTATCCGTGTCGGCTGAAATGTCCCAGCTGATCTCTGCCACCTCCGCTTCGGAATCCAAAGCCGCATTCGTTGTAACCAGCTCGTCGCTGGCCTCTCTCAGTTCCACAAGTGCGTCGAAAAACACGTGCGGCTTGACAACCAACTCGAACGGCTCCATCGTCGTACTCTCACGTGCTTCGGTCACTTCGGTCTGTTTCCTACCCTTCTTCTTGCTCTTCATGCCTTTCTGTGAGCGCGGCGAAGGCATGGATTCCGCCGACGATGTCACGGTGGGTACCTCGCAGTCGTGCAGGTAACTCTGAAGAGCCTGATGATACTCGACAGCATCGTCAATCTCGACACAACAGATTGCGTTTGCTATTTCGTCGAGAATGGACGGTAATTCCAATGGCAGACGTCGCAGCTCTTGACGAAAGTTCGCCCCCTACCGCGTCACATCATCCAGCCACGTTGGTAATCAGGTGCTCCAGGGCGACGAGTGAAAAAGAGACACGCACCGCGATGCCCATGTCAGCACACGAGACCTCAAGTTTGCGCTTGTACTCGGCAATCCGTCTCGTCAGATCCTGGATAGAGCACGAACAATATCAGTTATAAATCATCAGCGGCTGGGCTCCCAACTCAGTATCCACACAACGAAACGTCCGTCTGCTTACCGCCATCTTCCGATTGTTGTCTGCGATCTGCTTTTCGTCTTGCTGGATCGACTTTCTCAAGAACGGACTGGCCACCACCACGAGCCAAGCACGGGACAACAAACGATACACTCGACTGAGCTTCTTTCCAGCCACGCTCCTCTACCCACATCACACTTACATTTCAAATGCCGTGTTCTGCGCAATGATACGCGCCGCTTCTGCCGCAAAGATGTTGTTCTTCTCATACTGGCGCAGCAAAACGCTCCACCGCTTGAGCACAGGCGACGTATACTACCGACACACGTCACAACAACAACGACAAAGTCGGCACACCACACACCACACAGCAACGTATCACAGCACAGCACAGCCAGTGCTCTTCTTCCTGCTGCACGAGCAAACACTCTGGTGCATCGCTTTTTCATCCTTTCGACGCACCTGCCCGAAAAAGTTCTTTTTAGCGCCGTCGTCCGACTGCTCGAGACACTGGAAAATCAACTTGCAGTCGAAATACGTGAGCGTTTCGTGACTCGATCTCTGATTGGCGCAAAACTCCGCCAGCCGGTCGCTGGCCAATGGCAGCTCCGGATACAGTGCGGCGATCGCGTCGCGAATGAGCCTGTGCTGCTCGAGCCACTTGGTCGGGACGATGCGGCGATCCACGAGCGCATCTAGTAGCGAACGAGTGCACATGTCGAAACGCGTCAGCACAGCACCGTTTAAGAGACGCGGACGAAGAAGGTAGCTGTGCTATACCGAGAAGCCGCTTATACTGGATATCGATCGGCACGCTGCGCTTATCCGTCATGTTGCAGTCTCATCGCGTGTAAGCCGCGGTATTGTTTACAGCCAATCACATTGCGAATAAAATCAGTATGGATACTGTAGCACGCAAAAAAATCAGTGTGGTCTCTGCTACGCGTACGCACGTGTACACCCCTTTTGCCACTCAGTATCCACAGTATCCAATTTGCGTCGAGCAGCTCAGTTCGTCTCCTCTCCCGATCCAAAAGATCTCTGTAGCCCCTGTTCCTCGCGCTCAATATGCTGCGCCTCTATCCGCCATCGGCCTTCGACGCCTACAAGAAGGAGAAGAAGCGTTTCCCAGCCTCTGTCGACGTCGTCGTGGAGCAGATCCACGCAGCGTGCGACGGCGTCGGGACGGACGACGAGAAACTCGTAGAGCTCATTGGCTCCCTCTCGCCGAACGACCGCAGCCTGATCTCGCTCCGTTACAAGGAGCTGCACGGCCAGTCGCTTCGTGATTTGGTCAAGAGCGAGACCTCGGGGGCCTTTGGCTACTTGCTGCAGCTCATTTGCTTCAGCCTGCCCGAGGCCGAAGCGTACATTCTCTTCCACGCGCTCAAAGGCGTCGGCACGTCGGACCACTTGCTCTACTCGGTGCTCATGGGGCGCACGAACGAAGAGATCGATCTGCTGAAGAAAGCGTACTTCGACATGTACGACACGCCTCTCACGGTCGCTATCAGCGGCGAGATCAGTAACGACTTCTTGGCTGTGATCATGAAAGCACTGCAGGTAACGACGACTGACTGAGTCACTGACTCTTTCACGAGTAGACCGACTCGTTTTGGACTCTCGCCTGCGACATGCGCGTGTGTGTGGAAAGTACTGACTGGTTGTGACGCTGCTTTGTGCTGCGAATTGTACTGCAGGAACCGCTGGTTGAGTACAAGCCTCAGTTCCACACCAAGGAGAAAGCAGCCGAGGATGCCGAGCTCATTTACAATGCGGGGGAAGGAAAGTGGGGAACGGACGAGAACGGGTTCATCAAAGTGCTCCTGTCGAGTCCGCCCGAGCACGTGCGCAACATCGACGCAGCGTACCGTGCCAAGTACGAGCACGACTTGATCCACGCCATTGAGAAGGAGTTTAGCGGCAGCGACTGCGCTGCTCTCTCGTTCTTTGGTAAGCACGGCCGTGTCAATGATCTCGTCCCGACATCGTACGAGACACTGACTGTTGTTGTTCGTTTGCGTGCTGTGCAGTCCGCGTGAACCTCAACGCGTGGCCGTTCCTTGCCGAACACATTGAAAGCACGATGGCCGGCATGGGCACGGACGAGACGGCGCTGTCGGCTGCCATTGTGCGCTACCACCCGTACTTGAGCCAAATCCAGGCTGCTTACGAAAAGAAGTACGAGAAGTCGTTGCGCGACCGCATTGAAGCGGAAGTAGGGGAAGAGTACCAGAAGCTGCTGCTGAAACTACTTGACCCGGGCTGCTCGATCAGCAGCCTTGCGGAGGTTGCTTCTAGCTAGAGACACCCGCTTGGTCCACCCATCTCGGTCGCATGACTTGTGCTTAGTCGAAGCGTTGCGTCTCGGTCGCATGACTTGTGCTTAAATGAAGCTTTGCGTCTGCTTAGCTCTTTCCACGCACGCTCTCCAATCGTCAGACGCTCTCGCGCTCATTTCTTCTTCTTACCGTCCAGCTTAGCTCCTCACCGTGAGCCTGCAGCCGCACACGCGACTTGAGGCCAATGAGATATCCTGTCTATACCTCCCTTGCCTCAAGTCGCGTGCGTCCCAGTCGCATCTATGTGGCGTCTCGCTCGCACTCACAGGTTCCCCTTGCAATACCGTTTGGTCAGCAATGCAGCACGTCTTCCCTCAGCACGCACACGACGTCTTCCGCGGCGTGCCGCTTGTCTACCCGCGCGAGATCGATGACGCTTGCGAGCGGATCCGCGACGCCACGGACGGCTTGGGTGTCAACGAGCAGGTCCTCGTGCAGGTACTGGCGTCGCTGTCCACAAGCGACCGAGCGCTGCTCATCTACCGCTACAAGGACTTGTACCGCGAAGAGCTCAAGGACACGCTCAGTCGAGAGACGATCGGCGACATCCGCTTCTTGCTACTGCTCTTGACGATGCCGTTGCCAGAGGCAGAAGCCTTCTTGCTCAACATGGCGACATCGAGCAGTGGCACGAAGGAGCGCCTGCTGTATCCGGTACGATGTCAACAGCACCGCCATCTCGTGCCAACGATTCCATGCTCATGCTCAGCTCATTCTCCCCTTGCCTGATGCACTGTTTGTACCGTGACAACGCTGGCAAAGATCCTGCTGGGCCGCACGAACCAAGAGCTCTCGGTGCTCAAGTCCACGTACTACTGCATCTTCAACAAAGACTTGACCTGGCTCATGCGGTCCGAGCTCAGCGGCGACTACCGCGAGATCATCCTCCTGGCACTCGATGTACGTACGACTGTATCTTCCATACCGGACACTCCCTCCTCCTGCTCGCTGCTGCAACTTGTTTGGCTGCACCAGCACTTCACTCGCGCTCACTGTCCACTTTGCTGCTGCTGCTGCTGCTCCTCGTCCACTTGTCGTCTGCAGAGACTCCAAGTCCCGTACGACCCTACGCTCCACACGTACCAAAGGGCCAAAGCAGACGCCATAAAACTGCACGAAGCGGGCGAAGGCCGCTGGGGCACGGACGAAACGGCCTTTGTGCGCCTCTTGTTCTCCAGTCCACGCGAACATCTCGCGCTCGTGAACGACATCTACAAGAAAAAGTACGTCAACGATCTCGAAGAGGCCGTGCGCAACGAATTCAGCGGCTACGCGAGCGAGGCTCTTGTTTTTTACGGTACGTCGGTCGCGTGCAGACGCGAAGCAGGGGGTGCTCGCTTCCTTCCCAGCAAACTGCCGTCGGCCTTGTTCCTGCCATTTGCGATGGCGGGTGTGCCTGCCCCCAGCGTCCTGCTTCCGTGTGTCTCTTCGACTGATACTGACGACTTCGTCAATGTTCTTGTGCGGCGGCTGTGCAGTGCGACTGGCGCTCGAGCCGGACGCAGCGATTGCCGACCACTTTGAGCGCATGATGCAGGGGCTACGCACGGACGAGAAGGGGCTGAGCGCCGCAGTTATCCGCTACCACTGGATGCAGCCGCGCGTGACGCAGCTGTACGAGAAGCTGCACGGACGGCCGCTCGAGGAGCGCATCCGCACCGAGACGGACGCCAGCTACGGCGATCTCCTGGTCACGCTGCTGCACATTCCGACCAGCGCGCACGAAGACGACTCGTCTGGCGGCGGTAGAGGAAGTGCTGATGCTGATGCCAAGAGCCTCGAGACTGAGCTCGAGGCCTAAGACGAGAACGAACACGTCTGCCGGTTTCCACACGTTGCGACTCTGACTGTCTATCTGCACGTAGACTCTTAGAGAGAGAGAGAGAGAGACGTGGCTCATGCCACGACGTTGGACGAGGACTGTCGAGCGTACGTACAAGAGCGACGCCATCGATGCAGCTAAGAGCCGTCGCTGGAGGTCGAGAGCCGCAGTAGTCCGTCTCGCTTCCCAGCTGCTGGCAACAGGACGTCGAGAGGAGAGGGAACTTCAATCGACCGCAGCGCATGAACGTTTCAATGCCTCTCTCGAACCTGCTGTCACAATCGTACAGATTCCAGCCGTACAAGCGGCCAGCCGTACATGCCATTGGCCGTGCAAGCGACCAGCCGTACAGCCTCTAGTTGTACAGACTACCGGGTAGGTGGTACCAGCTGTAAACATCGGCGAAATGCGGTCGTAGCACGGCGTGATTGACACTGGATTGCGCCATCAGCATACAAAGCACTTTATTGGCACGGCCACGACTTGAGCACCCCCACAAGCAGCTTCCACGATAAGTGTCCCCTCGGATCGCGGGCGTCATCAGGCGTGCAAAGATGCCGCAGACGAGGCATCGACATATTTGACACTGCCACTGAAAGTATCAGCCCCTGCTTGAGCAAGTCAGCCTGTCTGCGCTTCGACGCGCCGTCTTTCGCTGGCTGTCCACGACGTTGGTCCAACAGCCTATTGGTCGCCTGCTTGCATTCCGACAGCCGGCAGCCCCGCGGCAGATTGGTTTGGGCAGTTACTATCGGCCGACAGCTGCCATCAGAGACGACGACTCACTCACTGACGCGTGAGCGTCCCGCACTGTTTGCCGCGCGCTGGGTCAATTTCGCGCTCTACGTCGCTTGCACCGCAGCTGGGCGGGATTGACACCGTGAAGTCCACGCGGTGGTCGATCACCATGGTGGGGTCAGCTAAAGATAGTACGAGCTGCTGTCTTGATGGTAACTGTATGTTCACCGAGCAGCTACTTACATCGCAAAGCAGCTACTTGCAGGGCCAGGCAGCTATGCAAGCAGCTGCTCGGTGATGCAAATACCTCTGTCGCCGAACCTCGAGGCAGAGCCGCAGAGGCTTACAGAAGGATGGATGCTGTCACGTGCTTGTGCACTGCCAACAACGCCTGCACACGATAGGCTAATGGTAGTGGTGGGTGGGTGGGTGGCGGGGCGTTCGCGTCGCTCGTTGTCCGCCAAGGCTCTGGTCCAACGCAGCTCTAAACTCGACGCGTCCGTCACTCGTTCGCTTTCCACTGCGCCATACGCTGGATGAAGTCTCGTCGTTCGTGGCGCCCACCCGCGGGGTTTTCCCTGTCGTGGCGCGAGATTTCGAATCGTCGTGTAGATTACGGCACCTCGTTCCCACAGATAAAGCCCTAGCCCTGTGGGTTCGCGTAATCGCGGGCCTTTCCACCCGCACACCGCCGGGTCTCGACTCTCCCTTCGCGACACTTTCGAACGATGTAGTCGTCACCCACTGGATGTGGCCACTCGAACGGCAGTCGGTGGGTAAAGCAGCAGCCAGTTGCCATTTTTCGATCCCAAGCACACGACGGACTCCCCCAACCGTCTGTGGCGTCTCGCGACTGATCGATCCATCCGCGTGAAGGTGAACACAACCCAACCAGCCAACAACTAACTAATACACAACGACATAGACAGATAGATCGCTCGAGTGAGTGAGAGAGTGATTGACTGATTGATCCGTCCATCCGTCCACCCGTTCACCCATAGCCAGTAACCAAATAACCAAAGAAGGGAGGGAGCAGCTGCAGAGCATGGGCATTGCTCTCCTGGAAGCCGAGATGTCGCATACGAAGGAGCGTCGGTCGTCTTTCCTCACGCGGTCAACGTGCTGCTCGGGCGTGAGTGGCGGCGGCAGTAGCGAGATCACACTGCTCGACTCGGAGACGTTGAGCGTCACGCGACTCAGCAGTGTGTACGGCGGCGTGGGGGACCGCGCCAACGGGCAGCGACTGACGATCCTCGAAGAAGCGTTCGAGACGACGGACGAGGAGCCGTCGCAGCACCAAGTGCAGCAGAAGCTCTTTGAGCTCCACCAAGTGCAAGTGCTCAAGCAAGTGCCACTGCCCAACTGGATGAAGATTTTCGTGCCGCGGTTCGTGCGTCTGCAAACGGGCGCGCTGCCGTACATGGAGTACGCGCGCTCGGAGAAGGGTGAAGTGCGGCAACGCCAGATGCTGGAGGCGTGGACGCGCGTGGATCGTCTGCCTAGGAACAAGCTGTCCATTGACTTTCGCAAGACAGGAGATGGAGAGAGCGTTGCGTCTTGGCCGAGTTCCGTGGCTTCTACGAGCACCAACGATAAGGTGTCTCTGGACAAGTGGATTCTGAAATTCGAGACGAAAGAGGAGCGGGACGAGTGGGCCAAGTTGGTGCAAGACTCGATCGAGCTGCTCGACTGGATTTCCAAGTTTACGCTTGGTGGTATCATTATGGAGACGGACAACTCGTCGGTGGTCGAGTGCTCCGTGTGGACAGACCGCGGCCGTCCGTCGTACGTGATGAAATTGATGAGGGCGTCGTCGACGAAACTGAGCCACTTGGCTCGCAGTGAGATTGAAATCCATCGACTGCTGACCAACGGCTCGGTCCACCCGAACATTGTCGCGCTGCACGACTCGTTCTGGCAGAAGGAAAAGGCTTATCTTGTCTTGGAAAACTGCGTTGGTGGCGACCTCTTTGACTTTATCAATCAGAACGGTGGCATGGATGAGCGGGACGCCAAGGTGCTGTTTCGCCACATAGCGAGTGCCATCGACCACTGCCACGACCAGGGCGTCGTGCATCTTGACATCAAGCCCGAGAACCTCTTTTTCAAGGCGTCGTCTGCACAGCTGGAAACCATCAAGCTCGGCGACTTTGGCTCGGCTGTGCTGCTGGAGACGAGCGAGTCGAAGAAGGCTACTAGTTGCACGGTTGGTTACGCTGCGCCAGAGGTGCTTCAGCACGGGGAGATATCTACTGCTGCTGACGTGTTCAGTGCGGGCGCAGTGCTGTACACGCTACTTTGTGGCTACTCTCCGTTCAGCGCCCCGTCGGAAGACGAAATGTTGCAGCGAACGTTTTCAGGCGAGATTGTGTTCGACGAGCTTGAGTGCTGGCGGATCAGCAAGGAAGTCAAGGGGCTGGTGAAGCAGATGATGCATCAGGACGCCACGCAGCGCCCGAGCATGGAGGAAGTGCTGGCGCACGCGTGGTTTTAATGGGGAATTGTCAGAGGACGTAGCACGAATGACGTAATATTTAACACTTTTTCAGCGGTAACTCAGACCAAAGCACCAGGCAATCAAATTATTTATCGAACTCGCCGTTCGTCCCGCAATCGAATGAGCTGCTTGAAAGTCGCATGTCTTTAGCTGTCATTGCACCGCCAATGAGCGACACGCGCAACACGTTACATGACTGGACTGCCGCTGGTCAAGCAGGACAAACACACGGTTGTACAGAAGTGTTACTGCTTTGATCTCAAAGGCTACTTCCTGCCGCCGAAACGTCTCAGGCGTCTTTGTTCAGGCTCAGAAACAAGGCACAGGCAGAACTTCCAATCCCGATGGTAGCAACGAGGCGTGTAACACGAAGCTGTGGACGCCAGCGCGCTACAATCCGACCAGCTGCAAGTAACGTGTGACTATTTTCCCGTTTGGATTGCTCCTCCGCACGATGCTTCCGGTCGACTTCGATCGGCACGTCGAGGTGGATGGTGCGCGAGTCCTACGAGAGAGAGAGAGAGAGAGAGATTCATGACTGTCTGTTACACCTGGTGGTTTTGCGCTAGAAGTCTGAAATCGTCCAAGCCGAGAATACAGCGCCGGTCGCGGCGGTGGTTCATGGCACCCCTCTAGTGGTAGCGAACCCCCGCTAGCCTCAAGAGTAAAACGTTCAAGGGAGGCCACCGAGACCGCTGAAGCACCGGGGTCGCCGGAGCCTGACGATTCGCACAGTTGCCGAGACAACAAGCTACAACCGCACTCGACACAGAGGCGCCAGTCCAATGGCTGAGGAATTTACCCCAGCACGCTTTGCGCGAGTCCAACGATGGCGACCGTCGACCACGTTTGCTGTACGAACAGACTGGCAGTAGGGAGTGGACAGGCGACAGAGAGAGCGACGGCAGCGTGTGACACAAGAGAGAGGCTACCACCGTGAGGACGACGTCGAGCCGACATTTGTGTGGCGCACAGACGTAGTCGACTTGGTCACAAAATAAACGTCGATGCGTCATCGATGATGATGCGAAATGCTTTGACTGACGAATGGGACTTCCGCTATCAGTTGGAACAGGCATTTGGCCAACGGTCGACTGCAGTGTAAGCGGAGTGAGCCGATTTCACACAAATTGTCATTGCGTGAACAACGTCCGTGCGACATTGTCTTACTTGATAAGTAATACTCTGCACGTGTGCTCGTTGGCTGGTATGAGCCAATCTGCCCGCCAACAAACGTCTGCTGAGTGGGGCGCGTGCAATGGTAGGTGAGCACATGGTTGCAGTTCGTGCTTGTATTTAAGTTTAGTGAAGGAAGGCATGAATGTGACGAGGCACCCTCCGCTTGAATCGACATACTGTAGTCCGAGCTATCTACACCGACACAGTGTAAGCTGATGCCTCGATCCCTCACGTATCCTGATTTTGCCGAGATAGGCTTAATCTCTTGATCAGGACGTTGAGAAAAAAAGAGAGCGGAAATTCTGTATTTAAATAGCTCAAACTTTTTACTAGAACCTCTATTGACCTTTATAGTAATTCTTTCCCTTTACACTGGGCAAGGTAATTATTTGTACATTGAAAATCTTAAGACAATATTCTGATTGACCTAATCGGGTGTTATTGCATGTTAAAACCATCCCGTTACACTTTAATAAGAACAGAACAAGCTTGCTTAAATAAAATTGGTGTAAGCAGGTGCCGCAAACCCTCACGTACACGTACGTGCTGAGGAAGTGAATAGAGCTGCGAGAACATTTAAACCATGGGCGAAAGAAAGCTGCATTCAATATAGTTTGGATTTTGACATGTCTGTTTATTTTTTCTATACGTAAACATACATGTATCGATGCAAACACAACCTGTGAGCTATCTACCAGCGACCCGTTGCGCGCCTCGATCGTCATTTGGACGCTTACTTTCAAATAGCCCAAATTTCACCACAATTTGGAGTTACTGAGGTTCACCTTGTATATATATATATCGAGAGAGAGAGATTCTATTATTTGTTAGCATTTCTTCACTTTCATCTAAACGCGTTTTCAATTGCTCACAAAATATGTAAATATCATTTCACAAACCTTTTGATAAATCCTTTTTATAAATCTTTTCGATATCTTAAATTTTAAAAATAAATTTCGTTTTTGTATCTAATTTAAATATATTTGAAAATATTTTTAATTATAAAAATCAAAATAATATCGTTAATATGTTTTGTAATATTTGATCATACTTAGGGATGGTATCCGCAACGATATTATTCGCATTGGCTTAGATTGATGTCGATCATTATATGTTATAACCGCGTTACACCACCCCTTGATTATCGTTCGAATAGTGAGTTTGTTTGATTGGTTGACCCCATTGGGTCACTTCTACGAAAAGGAGGCACGTGCCGGGTAGGGTTCCTACCAATAACTCTCTCATCTCTTGGATAACTCATCCATGTGGTGGCACAGCAACAGATTCACGCAGTCGTGCAGCGGCCAGTGAGTTCTTCTTGACTAAAAATCAGAAACGTAATCCAGGGCCGCAGGCGCAACTTTACTTGCAGTGTGTATCACTTCAAGCTTACGTGTTGTTCCTCCACGTGAAAAGGTTGGATTCGAGGCTTGTCTCATATTCAGACACCACAAGTACATCGTAGCGTATTGTCTGACGCAAAGGCCTGAAAATATATATGCCGTATCGTGAGTTAAGCGTCTCACTCGCTGTACAAAGTTGTTCGCATTCTCGAGATCGCGACGACGATACGGTGTGTAATGAATCAGCTCATCGAGAAAGCTACGATGACTTCGATATGGATCAAAGGATAAAAGAAATTCAAATGATCGTGACGAGATATTGTTACTTTTATGTTGATACCACATGGGAGAAATAAATATGCGACGTGGTAATGCATCTTGATTTACACGTCAGACGTGTGTGTCTTCACGGCGACTCGTTAATCATTTGTCGAAAACAACAAATATCGGCATCGAGTCCGTCATTTTTTATGCGTCAAAGTTTCACGTCTTCCACACCAACGCAAGTGACTTTTGCGTCGAACGAGAGTTCTATATGGTACTATTTTTTGTTGTAACTTGAGCGGGAGGCGAAGTGAAAACGGAGCGGAGAGACCGGAGAGAACGAAGCGGAGAACACTTGCTCACTTGAGGGAGTATTCGAAAGTGATTGATTCATAGGTATTAACTCTACCTACCCTAGAATGCATCCAATCACATGGTGCATCTAATCAACCTGATTTACACGCGTCCAATCATCCTACGCGTCTAATCACCTCTGAGGTAATTACCGACGTAAAAACTATCCCGTAAAAACTACGCTTAAGTTCGGATTGTACCGGTAACCCTCAATACGCCCCCTCAATCCGAACACGCACAGATGCCGAGCGCCGCCGTCAAGTCCTTGTGGCGTGGTCCGTGAAGTCCCTTCGTCATGATGTCTGCCAACATCACTGTCGTCTCGCAGTATTCCAGATTCACTTCACCGCGCTTGACTTCATCGCGGATGTGATTATACTTGATGTCGATATGCTTGGCGCGGCCGTGGTTGACCGGGTTCTTCGTCATCTTGATGCACGATTGGTTGTCTTCACGGATCATAAGCTCGGGTCCTTCCTCGTGAGCGGCCGCCATGATCTCGCATAGCAAGCGATGAATCCACTTGCCCTCTTGGATCGCCAGACTCAGCGCGATGTATTCCGCTTCACTCGTTGACAGCGACACGCTTGGCTGTTTCTTGCTGCCCCAACTCACTGGCGCACCCAATAGCATGAAGACGTAGCCAGACGTCGACTTGCGATCAGCAACGTCACCGGCCCAGTCTGCATCCGAGTAGCCACGAAAGTCGATCTTCGCACTTGGTTTGTAGCAGACTCCATGCGTCTTGGTGCCTTGTAGGTAGCGAAAGATGCGCTTGACCGCAACCCAGTGCTCTTCTTGAGGGTTCTCCATGAAGCGCGACACAAAGCTCACAGCATAGGCGATGTCCGGTCGCGTTGCGGTCGTCAGATGCATCAAAGCACCAACTCCTTCACGGAACGGAACATCGATCTTGCTTGCAGAGTTGCTCGACACCAGTCGAGAGCTGACGTCCACAGGACTTGCCACAGCCTTGCACTCATCCATTCCAAAGCGCTTGAGAATATCGTCGACATAACGGCGCTGACACATCGTCACGCTGCCATCTTTACCATCCAATAGCTCGATACCAAGGACAAACGCACACTTTCCGCTGTCCGTAATCTCGATGCGTGTCTTGAGGTCGTTCTTGGTGCGCGCAATCAGCTCGAGCGAGCTTCCAGTCACCAAGACATCGTCCACGTAGACCAGCACAAAAAGACAATGGCCTTCCGAAGTCATGATGAAGAGACACGGATCGAATCCTGACGCTTGAAAACCAATCGAGCGTATGAACTCGTCGAAGGTCTCGTTCCAAACACGCGGGGCTTGCTTGAGACCGTAGATCGCCTTGATCAACTCGAGACAGTCGAAATCACCGTCCATCTTGACACCTTCGGGAACGGCGCAGAACACCTCCTCCTTCATCACTCCATACAGGAACGCAGTCACCACATCAAGCTGATCTAGGGGCCATCCAAAGTGCTTAGCGATGGCGATGACCATTCGCAGCGTCACATACTTGACCACGGGCGAGAATGTCTCCGTGTAGTTAATGCCGTACTTTTGGCGAAAGCCCTTGGCCACAAGTCGTGTCTTGTATTTCTCGATTGACCCATCTGCCTTGCGCTTGATCTTGGAGACCCACTTTGTGCCAATGGCGCTTTGTCCGTTGGGTAACTTGGCCGCACGGAAGACACCGCGAAGCTTCATCGAATCGAGCTCCGCATTAATTGCCTTGCGCCAGTGTACTTGGTCCGGGCCACCCACTGCTTCTTCAAATGTAGACGGCTCCGACAGATCCATTGCTGCTTCGACAGCATTTGCACTCGCATGCCAAAACGCGGGGGAAGTCGGTGCGTCATGTTGCTCTTCCGA